AACACATACTCTATGCTAATTTCTCTCTAATTTATGCTTTCATCTTTCAAGTAAATCCATAACCCCTAACAGCAGTGTCCAGTGAAGCAGGAAGTCAATGGGCGGGGTAAAAGGGTGTGCCACTGGCGCGAATCACGTGACAAGACCTGCCAAAAGGGGTGAACATGCCCAAAAAGTGCTGCCTGCCAATCCTGCAGGCTGTCCAACTAAGGGCATACTATGCAGGCAGCACCTTGAGCTTGACATAAATGCGTCTAATGATGCGCTCACTCCATTCTTTCTAAGGACTGTCCCATAGCACTCGCTGGTCCACTTGTCTCCTTACCTTCTTACTAGCAGGCAGAAGTTCCTGGTATATAGTCTGAGACAGAGAAAAGGTGTCTGTAGTGAGTGTAGAAGAAAGGGGACATGCCACAGTGTTAGAGAGACCAATGTCTGCATTACCTAAACTAACTTTAATGTCAGCCAGTGCACACAAGTTTTGTTCCCATACATCCCTCTTAAGCTTCCAAACTTAAAGGGACACTATAGTCACCAGAACAACTACAGCTTATTGTATTTGTTCTGGTAAGTAGAATCATTCCATTCAGGCTTTTTGCAGTAAACACTGTCTTTTCAGAGAAAATAACTCCACTGGCCGCTCCTTAGATGGCTGCTAGAGGTGCTTCCTGGGGAAGTACTGCCTAGTGTGCAGCACTGCCATTCAGTGTCTCCACCCTCTGCATGCAGACACTGAACTTTCCTTATAGAGATGCATTGATTCAATTTATCTTTATGAGGAGATGCTGATTGGCCAGGGCTATGTTGGAATTGTGCTGGCTCTACCCCTGATCTGCCTAGTTGACAGTCTCAGCCAATCCTATGGAGAAGTATTGTAATTTCTCAGACCACCACTTCTGAGCCAGCAGCTGCAGAATTGAATACAAGTAATATTTTACTATATTAAGGGAGGCAAGAAGGGGCCAGGGTGGTGGTTTTTACATAATAGGGTCCTTTAAGCAAGAGTATGTGAAGAGTAGTTAAGGTTTCCACCTTTCTTGGGAAAAAATACCAACCTTAATCATTTGTATAATTAATTAGTTATGTGTGACATCACATGATGTAAATCACAAGGAGTGATATCAGAGAAAATTCTGTAAAATCACCAACAAACTACTCACAGTTTGATTCTGCTGTATAGATGGATTGCTCCCAGTGTCTCAGTCTCGCAAGTCACCTAGTGTCTCAGTGTCCCTATGTATCACAGTGTCAGTGTCCCCATGTCGCCCAGTCCCCTAGTCTCCCAGTGTCTGTGTCCCCATTTCTACCAGTGTCCCAATGTCCCAGTGTGTCCCCATGTCACTAGTATACTGGGGACACTGAGAGACATGGGGACACTGAGAGACCCGGGGACACAGAGAAATGGGGACACTGGGAGACATGGGGACACTGAGACATTTAGGGAAACTGGGAGACATGGGGACACTGAAACATTTGGGGACACTAAGTCACTAGGGACAAAGACATGGGAACATAGACACTGGGAGACTAGGGGACACTGGCTGGGAGACAGACACTTGGGGACACTGGGAGACATGGGTACAGTTGTGGACATAGACATGTGGACACTGGGAGACATGGGGACACCAGGCACACTGAGACACTAGGAACACAGACACTGGGAGACATGGAGACACTGAAACATTTGGGGACACTAAGACACTAGGGACACAGACACTGGGAGACTAGGGGACACTGGGAGACTAGGGGACACTGGGAGACTAAGGGACACTGGCTGGGAGACAGTTGTGGACATAGACATGGGGACACTGGGACACATGGGGACACTAGGCACACTGAGAGACATGGGACACAGACACTGGGAGACTTGGGGACACTGAGACACTAGGGACACTGGCTGGGGGACATAGTGTCTCCGTGTGCCAATGTCTCAGTGTCTCCCAATGTCCCTATGTCTCACAGCGTCTCCATGTGTCTCAGCATCCCCATGTGTCCCAGTGTCCCCTAGTGTCTCAGTGTCCCCATGTGTCCCCTAGTGTCTCAGTGTCCCCATGTGTCCCCTAGTGTCTCTGTCCCCTAGTGTCTCAGTGTCCCATATGTCCCCTAGTGTCTCAGTGTCCCCATGTGTCCCCTAGTGTCTGTGTCCCCTAGTGTCTCAGTGTCCCCATTTGTCCCCTAGTGTCTCAGTGTCCCCATGTGTCCCCTAGTGTCTCAGTGTCCCCATGTGTCCCCTAGTGTCTGTGTCCCCATGTGTCCCCTAATGTCGGTGTCCCCTAGTGTCTCAGTGTCCCATATGTCCCCTAGTGTCTCAGTGTCCCCATGTGTCCCCTAGTGTCTCAGTGTCCCCATGTGTCCCTGCTGCCTTTCCCCCATCCCTCACTTACCTGAGCTGTAGAGCTGCTGTCTGGACTCTCTGTGCTGTGTAGCTGCTCCCCCACGGATCAGTGAGTAGTAGAGAGAGGCAGGGATATTCTGTAACTTCCTATCCCTGACTCTCTCCACACACAGTGACCCCTACTGGCCGGTGCTGGTATTGCAGAGTAATTTACATTTATTCTGAGAAAATTACCTGCATTTGTAATGCCGGTATTACTGTAATACCGGCACGGCCAGGCAGCCTCAAATACCGTCTGTGCCATTAAAATACCAGTCAGGTGGGAAACCTAAGAGTAGTGTGTGTAAAAAAAAAAAAAAAAATGTTTTTTTTTTTTTTTTTTTTAAATGGGCCTATTCCATGGGCCTGGAGCTGCAGCTCCATCAGCCCCTATGTTAATCCGGCTCTGGTACTGACATAATAATCGAAATAATAGCACGCAATACAAGAAATTAAAACATCTCTATTTTTTTAATACCGGGATACTGAGAATAATTTCCATTTAATGCTGTCTTGACAATAGAAATGTGAATTTGAAATTTAAATTACTCTTCTCAATAGCAGTTTTAAAGTAAACTTGTAATTAGAGGGTTACTGTAATTCTTTCCTGTTTGTTTATGCTCTATTGGCACTACTGGTCTTCTTCATCCCCCTTATTTAATAAAAAAAACTTATGAAATAGATTACCTTGAATCCAGCGCCGATTGGGGTTGCCTTACTCAGTTTCCACTCCACGACAGTCGTCATGCCGCGTCATCTGTGTTAGAATTAAATGCATTTCACAGAAAGGCACGAAAAAGTACAAATGCTGCAGATACAGACTCCTTCCAACTCGACAACTTCTAAAAGCAGAAGTAGTTATGGTGGTTGGAGGCACCTTTTAAGAAAGACATATAAGATTTTTTTTACTAAAGTGAGAAATGTCAGGAATTCAAAATAATTCAACGTAAATTACCAAATTTGGGGCAAAATTAGCCAGACTAGAAGTATATTTGAAGAATATCTGACTTGGAAATTTTTTCCAGTTTGGCTATTTTGGCATTAAATTTCAAAATCGTTTTGAATTCACTATAATTTCCTGACATTTCTCATGGTAGCACATTAATTATATATCCACATGTATTCCATTAAAGGTCAGACCGACAGAATCCTTATTCACCAAGAATAATTCTATTTTTTTTATTTAGAGACTAGCTAAAGATTTGGGTTGTTAAAACTTGGGGCAACTCAAGTCCATCTCAGGAGAACATGTGTGCAATTAGACTGTAAGCTCTTTTTAAAAAGCAGTTCAAAGTTCTGGTCTAGATTCTTTCTGTTCTGTTGATTTTACATCGGTACTTTCTTGGACTGTACTAGAGATGAACTCTTCACGAGGAATGTGACTGCTGTGTAGGTTTGAAATGTCACGACATGACTACCTATTGGTTGCAACCAAGGTGACCCAAGTTCAGTCACTACTGACTTCAATAAAAGCTTGACTCTAGAGTTTTACTAAATGAAACTTGATATCAACATGGCTGCCACAATCCCCCAGAGCTTACTCTCCACCAAGACCAAGCTGAGCCTGGTTTAGGTCCAACTGATTTCAGAGGGTATTGGACATAGAAGCTGCACTCTTCTAGTAGAACTTGACAGATAAGTGTCACTATGCAATGCATAAAGAAAAAATGTTCATTGGATCACAGGATAAGAATAAAATACAATGTATATTCATTTATAAATGATTGAAGCCAGAAGGCCAAAACTTTGTATTTTATTTTTTTCCTTATGATCCAATAAACCTTTTTTGTTTATGAATTACATTGTCATGCCTGTGCTTTGCTTCTCCAAACTATATTTGGGAAATATGGAACCCTGTCATGGTGCTTCGATGTTCTAGTATATCTTATTAATTTTCTCGTGTGCAGCACACTCCTTACTTTCTGTTGTCCAATATGTGGTTCCAGATTGCTCCCAAAGACTAGATCTTTTTCCTCATCAAAAAACTCTGTTGATGCACATGTTATTCACTTGATGGAACCTGACATCAACAGAGAACTTACCAAGTCTGTCTGTGCATGCCAATATACAGTTGCAAGAAAAAGTATGTGAACCCTTTGGAATGATATGGATTTCTGCACAAATTGGTCATAAAATGTGATCTGATCATCATCTAAGTCACAACAATAGACAATCACAGTCTGCTTAAACTAACAACACACAAAGAATGAAATGTTGCCATGTTTTTATTGAACACACTATGTAAACATTCACAGTGCAGGTGGAAAAAGTATGTGAACCCTTGGATTTATTAACTGGTTGAACCTCCTTTGACAGCAATAACTTCAACCAAACGTTTCCTGTAGTAGCAGATCAGACGTGCACAAACGGTCAGGAGTAATTCTTGACCATTCCTCAAGACTAAAGGATTTTAATAATACAACTTAATATTCATGCTATATGCCCTCTATTCTTAAAGGTTTTTTTTTTTTTTTTCCTAAACAGCAAATTGTGGAGAATTAATAACTACAACTACCAGCCCCTAGTGTCAAATCTAGCTGTGAAGAGGTTAAGATGAATTACACCAAATACATATCAGAATCACATACGATTTACAGAGGAAAACCACAGACACGCACGGTTTCCTTTCTCATTCAGGGCTGGGGATGGGTACCTTGTTTCAGTTTTGCAGACATGTCATTGTCCTAAGCTGATCTGAAAAAGTTTACTACCAAAATGTCGTCAAAAAGGCACAATAAGAAACAAGAGGTTTGTGAATCCATAGAAGAAAACGTTGTCCTTAGTAATTATGCTGGAAGTTCTCAAGGATTATGTTCCAGGGACTTCGATAGAAAAAGTAGTCACAGCCTGGCAAGCATTTTGGCTACTCTGCCACGGAGCCACCGACATGTGAGTTATATTATATTTTCATTCTTTAACCATGTCTGTCTGTCCCTCCATCTGTCTGTCCGTCTATCCATCCATTGCATCTGTAATGTTGAAATTGTTTGTCAAATATCTTTGAAATAATGTTTTAAAATGAAAATGTAATCTTTGTTAGTATTTCAAATAGAACATATTTCATTAACGTTGGGTCTCAAATATCCAGCATGGCGTGATATCCTATAATGAGTACAGGTTTCTCCTTGTTAATGACGAGATCCTGATAATCCTGATACTAATGCACTGTTACTATTACTGATACCTGAAAGATAGTGAGCGTGGCCATACCGCTGTCCATAGATGTTCATTGACGAAATCACTAAAGAGTTTTAGTAACTGTGGAATACTGTGTTTTAGGCATTCTGCTACCCTGATCTATCTCTCAGCAAATCTGCTAGAACTGCCTGTAGCTCACTGACAGTGAGATAGATAGTAGATGCAGTATTTTCTAGCATAGGTTAAGACATTAGGGATGCAGGACTGAGACCTGGAAGGGGCTCATCCTTCTTATATCAGTTAAATGATTTTCACAAAGTTTCCTACATTGAGAATTGGCCCTAGCTGTACCTACTGATCACCAATATGAATTTAATTGTAGAAGGAAAACATAGATTTTTTTTGAGTAAAGAAAAATGTGTAAAATGCCATATTAATATTGACAGATAATAATGACAGATGATGGAGCTCTTCTAGACACCATGAAACACTTATACAAACATTCACAGATACACTCATACAGTTATACAAACATTCCCAGTTACACTCAGACATGTATACAAACATTCACAGATACACTCAGACACTTATACAGACATTCCCAGTTACACTCAGACATGTATACAAACATTCACAGATACACTCAGACACTTATACAAACATTCACAGACACTTATACAAACATTCACAGATACAGACACGCATACAGACATTCACAGATACAGACACGTACACAGACATTCACAGATATACTCAGACACGTATGCAAACATTCACAGATACACTCAGATATGTATACAAACATTCACAGATACACTCAGACAGGTCTAAAAACACTTAAAGACACACTCAAACTCAGTGTTTCATGTGTTACAAACATTGTGACACACTAACACATTCATGCAAAGACATGCAGGCAAGCTTAGAGAAACACACACAGGCACTAAAATGCTCATAGACACACACCAAGTCACACAAAAAACAAGTCTTATTCTAAAGTATTCCCTGATGTCTCTCTACTGTCAAACTGTGTATGCAACAAGAGGAGAAAACTTCTTAATGCTGCTTTATTTTAATATAATCAGTGTTACTAAGTGTAATAAAAAGTGGTTGGTGTTTACGTTTACACTTTTATAAAAGTTTTAGGACTTTAACATGGACTGGGACGTGTACATTAAAAAACAATAAATAAATATATATAAAGCCACATCTGTCTTGTCTGGAGGTGATGAGAGCTTATCCCCCTTAGTGGAGGGAGCCTGAGAAGGGAGCATTGCCTGGCCCAGCTCTCAGTGTCTCTGCTGGCTCTTTAAGAAGCTCTGAGCAGCGAAAGAAGCAGAGACACACTGGAAACTGAGCCATATGTGCTCCGGTCTCAGACACCTTTACATAGCTTTGGGAGACAATTTTCAATGATCTCCCCAGGACCTCTGTGCATCACAGCCAGTGTCGTAACCTGACGTATGATCACCCAGGGAAGAGCAAAATTTTGCGCCCCACATTTACCACCCTCCAGCCCCATTCACCCTGTCCCTCTGTTTGTCAGGCTAATTGAACATATATAAATACTATTTGTTGATAAAGAGCATTACATTTTTTAATGAATAATCTTTTTAATACAATAGAAATAAATTACCTGGTTACGAATTTAAGCATGTTTTGTGAGTCTGAATTTATGTATATATTTGTGTGTAGTGTTTTCATTTGAAAGCAGTGGTGTACTTGTGTTTAGTGTTTGTGTTTGTATGTAGAGTTGGCTTGATTGCTGAATTGTATGCACATATACACATACACTGATCCACACACACACACACTGGAACACATATACACACACACACTGACACACAGATGCACACATGTAAACACACTGACACACATACACATGCAAGTAATGCATATACATAAATGACACATAGACACACACAGATAACACATATACACATACAGATACACACAGATAACACATACAGACATAACACATATACACACAAATATTATACACACAGACAACACATACACACACAGAGATATACACACAAAGATAGCAATTTACATATTTTTAGCCACCCCCTGCTTTTATACCTTTTTCGTGCAGGAGGGTGGCTTCCCTGGGGTCCAATGGCATCTGATGGGAGGCTCGTCTCCTGCTCGGGTCATTGGTAAGTTTGGAGAAAGTGCATTGTACTCACATCCTCCCAGTATGGTGGCTTCGCATTGAGCAGGGGGCCCGGTCGCACTGTTAAAGGGCCGCAATACCTGACTGGGCCCATAATCACAGATAGCCACCCAGTGTCCCTAAGTGAAGATGTGTGAAACCCCTGATCCACTGTTTCTGCCCAGGGCAGCTGCACCCCCGGTAGTTATGCTACTGATCACAGCACTGTCGTATCCTGGTACAATGCAATGGAGCAGCTGTTAGCGATACCAAACTGTCAGGCAGCACAAAGGCAGCCGATACGGGAGGAATGGGTACCCTCCAGACCCAAACTATCAGAGAGAGCAATGCGAACAAAGAAAAGAATCCAGTACAAGTATTGAGATAATAGTTTGTTCTTTTTAGCTAGTCCAGGTGCAATTTTTGCATCTAAAAATGCCTTTTAGGTTTGTAATGGATCCAATTTTACTCTAAAGTTTTCTTTTGTAATTTTTTGTTAAATTAGTTTTTAAATTGGGTGCTCCTCTAAAAATCATCCATCTTAAGTACGTTTCAATGTTTACACTTTCTTTAAAATATAATTTTTATTATTTGAATCATGGAATATTTGACTTTAAATGTAAGTTTTGAATTTTTTTAAATTTACACCTATATATGCGGAGAGCACTAGATATTTTTGCTCTTATATCGTATATCCCATGACATGTGGAGGAAGCCCTACAGATATATCCCAAGTGGGGACTGTACCGCTATACGCTGACCTCTCTGAGCTGAATGACAGCTCTTCGTAATTGTGTTTTTGGCTTATCATATCTAGGCCACACCTTCACTAGAATACTACACTATTGGTTTCCTCTACTTGTATTTATCTCCATATTTATTTCTAAAGACATCTCACCTCATCTCATCAAGACTATATTTATCCATATTGGCTGCTGTGCATGTGTAGACACCAACGTTTCCCTAAGCGAGGAATATATCGCTACACGCTGCTGTTCTTGAGCTAGATGAGTAGCTCTTCACTTAAGTATCTTTTCTGTTTTCTTTATTTCTGCTTCACAATTCTACATAATGACCCACTGAGATTACTCAGCCAAAACTTACATTACCCTAAGCGAGTAATATCTTGCTGCATGCTGCTATCCTTGAGCTAATTGGTAGCTCTCCAATGCATGTGAGTGCATTTCTACATTTTCTTGCACTTATACATCATTTATCCTAACTACCAGACTATCAGAGGACTCTTTTGTGTTTTATTCCCAACTTATCCTACATCAGGGTTGCCCAAAAGGTAGATTTCCAGATGTTGTAGAACTACAACTTCCATGATGCTTTCCATGCCTTTAAAATGACAAAGCACCACCTGGCTTCTTTTCTTTGTTTGCACCTCAAGTGACGGCTGACCTTGCAAAAGTTTCTGAACTACATTATCCCTGATGGCTGGCTGAGTAGAAAAGGTGTGTGCAAGAGTTGCCCATTATGCCCAAATGCTGGACAGCTTTGTCATTATTGTCCCTCAATAAGCTACCTATGCACCTTTTTCAGCATTGGCTACTCATTATCTGGTTAAACACAACAAGTATGAAATGTAACACTCTGTATATCTGTTTGATAGATGAGCAAACAATTGGCATAGTTGCCTCTTATTTACTTTATTTGTTTTTAAGCCATATTTGGGAGCTATTTTCTTTTTTTAAGTAATCATGTTTCGGCTTGTTTAATGAATGCAATTAAAATTCTGATTGGGGGAACATATGCCTTTTAAAAAATAATAAATAATAGCCTGGGGACACAGCCTTACTCAGCTTCTGCTGAGTAACAAGTGTAGTTAACAAACATTTGCAAGGAAGCAGATGTATCAGTCTCAAACATGTGCCATCTCCCAACAATGCACATTTTAAATAAAATAAATCCGTTTTACTTATATTAAAGAAATATTTAAGAACTTCCTATATTCTCCTATTGATTTATCTCACAGAGAGATAGTAATACTGAGCCAAAACGTCACATCTTCTTGATATAGAGAAAGTGTCAGAACTAGAATGTCACGTTTCAGGGGGCACTGAGTTCTAGTTGACCATGCCACACTGATATATTTTAAGATTGTTGGATGTGTAGTAGTAGACACCCAAATCACCCTTGATCTGACCTTAATGGTGCTCGCAGTATCTGCTTCTCAAATGAGCCGCTCGATAAGAAAGATCAGATGAATATGTGCGAATGTGAGTTTTGGAGAATCTGTCACAAGTTTCTCTTTTGTTAACAAAAAAATGACAGCATTTAGACGAAAATAGTTTGAAAACAATCCTCAACTAATCTTAATCACTGATTCTTTCCATGTTCAAGAGAGCACATAGAATAACATGATGACATAACTATCTCAGTTAAGGGAATAACCCTGTTATCCATGTCTTAGTCTTGAGACTTTTTCTTTCTAAGACACCCCAAACATGATGAGACTGATGATGCACGTGCTAACCTGCTGTTGCAAACCCTGAGGTCACTCCTCCTACATAACAAGTCTAATCGATCTCTAGACAACATCTTGCAGTGTGGTTCACCACCGTTTTCTTGACATGCAACCTTGTTTCAGTGACACATGATGCAGTCTTTGTTTCAGAAAGAAGATAGAATCCCCATTAAATTTGCAAGCTATTTTATCTCTACATTGTGCTTGTCAAGTACCTTGCAAACAGCTAGATTGGAAGATATTATAAATATTAAAAAGATACCCCACATTAGGTGTAAGGCAAGTTGTACGCCATAGCCTTTTTCATAAGGAAAATGACATGAGTTTCAGTGCAGCAACACTAATCAAAGCTAAATGCTGACAGGGTACCCACTTTAAACCAGCGTTGTTCTTCCACTCGATGTCAAGCGTCGCAATAATGACAACATGCATTGTCCTAGCGTCGGTTCCTTACCAGACCGATGTGTCAGTAATGGTACAAAGCGTTGCTTCACCATCAAGAGTGATGTAGAACACTCCACCCCAAGCTGTTTATAAAGCCAAAATGACACAGTGTCATTCCAGTATCGTAATTCTGTGATGTTTTGGGTCCTTCTGATTATGTAAGACACCAGGGCTATATATACTCACTCTGTAGCGGTTACCCCGTGTAGCAGAGGGGTTTCAACCGCTGGAGGGTGTCCTTTTCCCGATCAGTGAGGAGAATTCTCAGCATTCAGTCATGATCCAAGTGAAGAAGCTCTTACAAGAGTGAGTAGCTGTATAGCAGTTACTCCCAATAAGAGACAGGACTCTCGATTGAGGGTGAAGTAGAACTGATTTTTAATGGCAAGTACTCTTCTTTTATGCAGTGCTCCCATGCAAGGGAGACACCCACAAGCAATTATACATTAACCAATCAATGATAAGGTACATCTTACATATCCCCTCCTCTTAGATATACAGTTAACCCAATTAAAACGTGCACAGTTTTCCCAAGTTTCTGGAGGTAACCCAAATATATATGTAAATCCCTAACACTGGTATCCCCTGATAGCCCAGATCTGAGTGAACAACATATTCAAAAATCACCCAGATCGGACCAAGGGTTCGGGAGTTACAGGGACTTAAAGTTTTGACCGACCGCACAGGCAACAGTAGCCGAAAACAGTTCCATAAGTTTTGGCCTTGCGGTCAGTCTCTGTTCGTGAAATACAAAGTCCCGAATGGCTTGCCATCCGTGGATATCCTGGTGTTCGTTAGAATCCCCATGTTTAGCTTAGTCTTTCTACCGAACAGCGGCTCGTTCGGTAGTTTCCTTCCCTCGGTTCTGGCACTCTGGAGGTTTCAGCGGTGTTTGCTTGGTCGAGTGTCCGATTTGAGTTCAAGACACTCGACGACCAAACACCGCTGTTCGGGAGATTAAGATGGCCGCCGCCACGTGTTCGTCTCCCGAAATGGCGGCCACCCAGAGAACAAAGCATACACGGAATTGAGTGCTAATTATGAAACGGCAACATTGTTGCGAACATTAATGTGGAACAAACTTATTATCTGGGTGGTCGGAACGTTCGGAAGATAATTCGGGACTTTTGAACAGATTATATGGTAGTCTATGGCAGTCAGTTCATATGAAGGTTTTTGAAAAGAATGAGCAGTTCACATAAAGTACAGATCCCGCGAACGAACACAGAGGGGATCTGTTACACACTCCAAAATGAGATCAGTGCTCTGTCCTGGTCTATAGTAGCCTGAGGTGGCTTTTTGTTTGTTATTTGCTCTTCTGGTTTTTGATATTAGCTCGTATCTTGATTATCCTGAACTTTTCTTATGTTGCTTTTGGCTTGTTTACTTGTCCTCTCATCATTCTTTACTCCTGACCATGGCTTGTTCCTCAACCATTCTGTATCAGTTTTTAACGTTAATCCCAGCCATCTCTACATACTCCTAATACGTACATTTCATTGTACATTCCTTTATTAGAGTGTTGGGCCTCTGTACCTTCCTGACAATTGCAAAATGTCTGAAATTCCATGTTTTTTAAGAGCAGTAATGCCAGGGTAGGCCACGTTCAACACTACAGACCTTGTGGCCTACGCCTCCCATGATACGTTTCGAGCATTACAACTGAAAGAGCATTTTAGGAGATGTAGTCCACAACATCTGCAGTTCTGAAGCTTGTCAGCCCCTGGCATAGGTAACTGTAAAGATTCAGATGTGGGTATGTCATGTATAACAGTCCTTTTGGATTCACAATACTCTGTACTGTTTAATGTGACCTCATGTCACCCTAAGCTGCATGCCATGACAATTGCCTTAGGCTTGGGTGAAATTTAATTGGGAAATATTTAATTTAATTGGGAAATATTGATTAACAGAAACACACAGGAAGCCATGATTATTGTAACACTGCTGTTGTATATGTAACACTTTAAAGACATCTGGGAGTAAATTGGTCATTAAGGACACTCTCCAAATGTCCACGATACAACCAGCCATGACAATATAGTCAGATAACTTCATAGTCATAACTGCGATTCTCAGGTCAGAGCTTGTGTATAGTTTTTATGTATTATTGATATGCCTTATTAACATTATTGTCATGTTTGTTTGACTATAAACATTTCTTCTGTGTTTTAAATAATAAAACCAAAGATAATAATTGTATTTTGTTCACAGGTTTCCATGTCCAGGTCTAATTCACTGATTGAATCATCAGGAACTGGACCCCACAGGTAGGTTTCTGCATTCTTATTGTAACCAAATACAGGTATTTAACATTATTTAAAAACAAAGCAATGCATTATTCTAAAATCACTTTATTTTAAATATAGTAGAATTATACAATGTGAGGCTGCATTGTTACAAAGTTAATGGCACTTCGTAGATGATCTGAGTTTGTGAAATGTTGATTCTTTTTGGCATTCAACTAAACTGAAATAAATTTTGTATAAAGTTATATCGCTTCTTCTGTACTAATTTAGCATATTTTAATTCACATTATTGGGTGTTTAAATAGTGTCCAGAGGGGAGGAGTGACGTCAAATACACAGTCTCCTTCCATAAGTCAATAACAACACAAATTCAGTCGCTTAAAGGGAGGTTACATTTTCTGCAAAATGGCAGCCTCAAAAGCATGAATAATCAAACCATTTTAGCTGATGCTACAGTAGTGAACATGTCCTGAGAAAGTGGCTTGTCTAGGTTGCCATATTCTTAAATATGACACAAACATCAAATGTAATGCTATGACTATTCACATCCTTAATTATTAGCAGAACATTAATGTTCAACGAGCCGTGAATGAGCTTATTTATGTGTTTGTTTACCCTCTGCCTTTAAGAATACCTTTTATGACTCTTAGTGAATTTTTATATTAAACCCTTGACCAGCAAGCTAGAGAATAATCTATTTTCATAGTTGTGTAGGGAATTGTCTGTTTAAAGTCATTTTGGGACCAAGTCCTAAAAGTGAAACAGTGAAATGGAACATTACATTGGCTTCTATCTCTCTATTCTACGCCATTATTGTACTTTGTAAAGAAACCCTCAACCTCTGCATTTAACGAAAAATGATTTTACATTTAGACAGGCGTTTATATCGTGGTACATAACTGTGACAGTAAATCTCACTAGGGTGCACATCAAGGATTTATGAAAAACACCACCACCAAGGGTCAATTCATCAAGCAAGCTAAATATTAGTTAAACTATTTTTATATATTACAAACCGAACAACTGTATACATTTGACATACAAAACAATAACATTTTGTAGGTAGAAATGTATAGACTGGTTAGTGAGTTATGGTGCCAGCATGATATTGGTTCTCCAATCTCTGGTTCTGTATAAAACCATTATCAAACATTTTGACGCAAATCAAGGGTTTCCGGCACCCATGACCCCTCACTATGTGTACTGGTAATGTGGAAGTTACACATCAACATTAAAAGGATCAATTACATTCAGATTGGGGCAATAATTGAATTGCAGTATGATTATGGAGATTGGTTGTTAGCACCAGGGGGAATCTCAGTTTGTGTCAAATTACTTGAAAATGGTTTGACACCGAACTGGGAGACTGTGCTAGTGGACTACTGTTACCACAAGCTTCACAGCAGGCTCTAATTGATCGGGTGCTTAGACTGTTCTTTAAACGGGAGTCAGAGAGAAGCATTGGGAGGCAAGTGTAGTGTTAACACTGCTAATAATGCAGGGTCCTGAATCTTTTGCAATAAAAGTATATAGTAAAAAATTCCTAAAAATGAATAAATTGGTGCTACAGTCACCTTTGTGGGCCACACCACCACAAATCAAAAACAGTGATATAATACAAAAATAACAAGGGTGAGAGCACTCAACAAAAGAAAAACAATAAGATTATAAAATTATTTTACCCAAACTTTGTCAATCAATCTGAAAACTAAAAAACAGAGAAAAGAGACATAGGGTAATATAGTTAAGATAATATATGTGGGTAACTATAAATGGTCTCACTCACATATATAGAGCCACTTAGAAGCTGGCTCAAACTTCAGGCTTGAAAGTACAGTGGAAAAAACGGACTTCTCCCAAGGGCTTCCAAAATTCTACAGATGATACCTTTTATTCCATTCAGGACGCCAGAAATGGAAATGGTAGTAGATAAAGATTTATTGAAAATAAACAAAATAGAGTAAAAAATGTCTCTGCAGGTAAGTCCGTTGTTGGAGTAAGTCCAAACACTTAACGCGTTTCGGCTCTCGCCTTCTTCCGAAGTGTTCCCACTGTAAAAAGCTCCGCTTTAAATACCGGCAATATTGGCGCCTTTCGGATTCAATTGCCGTCCACTTCCTGGTGCGTCATGTACGTCATGACGTCAGCCGGCGTCCTCACGTAATGACGGCGTTCTTCTTCCGGATTCTTTTTTTCCCATCAATGGAACGCAAAGTCAAACCGTTTCTGCAGACGTCTTAACCGGAACATGCGCAAACAGTCTTTTAAATCCTAATTTGACATAATTTCTTGCAAATGCTAAGTTAACACAATTAATCATTTAAAAAACATAATAAAGACAATAATACAAATCTAATACTTAAAATTGATATAAAGAATACTAACACATATTAAGTTAGCACAATATTCATTTTAAAAACACCATATTACACTATAAATAAATCCAATGATTATAACTAATATTAATATTAATATTGAAAACTTTCAGGAGAGAATCAAGGAGAAAAAACAAAAAACAACAGTTTTTAATAAAAGGAATAAATACCCATATGTGAGATCCTAAAAAAAGGGAAAAAATCCATCTTAAAAATTAAAATAATAAATACATAGAAGAGACATATTTAAATAAACGAATTAATTGCCGATATTTAAAGCGGAGCTTTTTACAGTGGGAACAATTCGGAAGAAGGCGAGAGCTGAAACGCGTTAAGTGTTTGGACTTACTCCAACAACGGACTTACCTGCAGAGACATTTTTTACTCTATTTTGTTTATTTTCAATAAATCTTTATCTACTACCATTTCCATTTCTGGCGTCCTGAATGGAATAAAAGGTATCATCTGTAGAATTTTGGAAGCCCTTGGGAGAAGTCCGTTTTTTCCACTGTACTTTCAAGCCTGAAGTTTGAGCCAGCTTCTAAGTGGCTCTATATATGTGAGTGAGACCATTTATAGTTACCCACATATATTATCTTAACTATATTACCCTATGTCTCTTTTCTCTGTTTTTTAGTTTTCAGATTGATTGACAAAGTTTGGGTAAAATAATTTTATAATCTTATTGTTTTTCTTTTGTTGAGTGCTCTCACCCTTGTTATTCCTGAATCTTTTGCTCATTATCTAGAATTTTAGGGACACTCTTAGAACCGGAATCACAAACCAGAACCATTGCCCCAGAACCACTATGTAAAACTGTAGTGGTTCTGGTTCTTAATGTCCCTAAAATTCTAGATGATGAGCAAAATATTCAGTAGGTTACCCAAGGACCAGGTCAATATTTTTTTAGGAAAAGTAGGTGGAATAACACAATCAAAGATCTGCAACTTAAAAATTGATCTATGACTGTAAATGAAAGTTAACTGTCGGGATTCATCACTTTTGCTGTACTAGCAGATTGTATTAGTAGACCTTACTTATTCACAAAAAATAAAAATAATTGTAAAAACATACAATTTGCTTGACTCAACCCAGCGTCAGTCAAGAACACTTAAGATGTGATTATTTTAAGGTGGAAAACGTATTTACTAAAGCACATTTTAATAACTTTCTGCTACAATGTAATTACATAACCCACCATGCTAAAAGAACTAAACTGGTTGTCGCTGGAATCCAGTCGCACCCTTCATCTTTCCAGCCTTGTGTTTAAGAGCTTTTCCGAGAAGCTCCCACCCTACCTGAGCAGAATACGCTCCCTGGCTGTTCCCACCTCCTATAACCTCTGATCCAGTAGCAGCACTTTATTTAGTCTCACTCAATAGAAAAAGAAAGCGTCTCGCTCCTCCTTTTCCTACATTGCACCTCAATTATGGAACGACCTCCCGCACACTTTCAAATCTTCCCCAGGGACATCCTTTAAGAGAACCATCTATACATATCTCAAAACAGAATGCACCTGTCATGGTTGATTATATATTTCCTACCTGTTCTATACTACATTTTGTATATATGTTGTGGAGTAATATTGTTTTTGTATTTTATTGTACCATAATGTATCAATGCAATGATTTGTGAACCCAGGACATACTTAAAAACGAGAGAAATCTCAATGTATCCTTCCTGGTAAAATATTTTATAAATAAAGAAATAATAACCAAGTTTTCCACCTTAAAATAAGGACACTATACACTATAAGGCTGTAAACTATATTTGGAAAGGCCCTTGCTTAGATCGATGGTACAGAAATGGAACATCTCCAGATGTTTTAGAACAACTTTCATGCTATGCTGAAGCCTCATTTTTCCATGCTTTAACTAATAAAGTTTTTGTTTTTTTTAATTTCTGCTGCTGTTTCTTTTCTGTCATCATGCCTTCTGTCTTTCATTAAATACCTTCCAAAGTTCCAAACATGGAATTAAAATATCTGGAGTTCCATACATGGAATTAAACTACCTGGAGTTCCATACATGGAATTAAAATACATGAAGTTCCATACATGGAATTAAAGTATCTGAAGTTCCATACATGGAATTAAAGTATCTGGAGTTCTATACATGGAATTCAGATACCTGGAGCTCCATACATGGGAATTAAAGTATCTGAAGTTCCATACATGGAATTAAAGTATCTGAAGTTCCATACATGGAATTAAAATATCTGGAGTTCCATACATGGAATTAAAGTATCTGAAGTTCCATACATGGAATTAAAGTATCTGAAGTTCCATACATGGAATTAAAATATCTGAAGTTCCATACATGGAATTAAAATATCTGAAGTTCCATACATGGAATTAAAATACCTGGAGTTCCATACATGGAATTAAAATACCTGGAGTTTCATACATGGAATTAAAATACCTGGAGTTTCATACATGGAATTAAAATACCTGGAGTTCCATACATGGGAATTAAAATACATGGAGTTCCATACATGGGAATTAAAGTATCTGAAGTTCCATACATGGAATTAAAATATCTGAAGTTCCATACATGGAATTAAAGTATCTGGAGTTCCATACATGGAATTAAAATACCTGGAGTTCCATACATGGAAATTAAAGTATCTGGAGTTCCATACATGGAATTAAAATATCTGGAGTTCCATACATGGAATTAAAATACCTGGAGTTCCATACATGGAATTAAAATACCAGGAGTTTCATACATGGAATTAAAATACCTGGAGTTCCATACATGGGAATTAAAATACATGGAGTTCCATACATGGGAATTAAAGTATCTGAAGTTCCATACATGGAATTAAAATATCTGAAGTTCCATACATGGAATTAAAGTATCTGGAGTTCCATACATGGAATTAAGATACCTGGAGTTCCATACATGGGAATTAAAGTATCTGAAGTTCCATACATGGAATTAAAGTATCTGAAGTTCCATACATGGAATTAAAATATCTGGAGTTCCATACATGGAATTAAAGTATCTGAAGTTCCATACATGGAATTAAAATACCTGGAGTTCCATACATGGAATTGAAATACCTGGAGTTTCATACATGGAATTAAAATACCTGGAGTTCCATACATGGGAATTAAAATACATGGAGTTCCATACATGGGAATTAAAGTATCTGAAGTTCCATACATGGAATTAAAGTATCTGGAGTTCCATACATGGAATTAAAATACCTGGAGTTCCATACATGGAAATTAAAGTATCTGGAGTTCCATACATGGAATTAAAATATCTGGAGTTCCATACATGGAATTAAAATACCTGGAGTTCCATACATGGAAATTAAAGTATCTGGAGTTCCATACATGGAATTAAAATATCTGGAGTTCCATACATGGAATTAAAATACCTGGAGTTCCATACATGGAATTAAAATACCTGGAGTTTCATACATGGAATTAAAATACCTGGAGTTCCATACATGGGAATTAAAATACATGGCGTTCCATACATGGGAATTAAAGTATCTGAAGTTCCATACATGGAATTAAAATATCTGAAGTTCCATACATGGAATTAAAATACCTGGAGTTCCATACATGGAAATTAAAGTATCTGGAGTTCCATACATGGAATTAAAATATCTGGAGTTCCATACATGGAATTAAAATACCTGGAGTTTCATACATGGAATTAAAATATCTGGAGTTTCATACACAGGAAAGGCATCTATTCAGTAAACACAGTTGCAGAGCTCAGTTGCAGAATTTAGGTTAAAAAAAGCAGAATATATTTTGTTGAAAGCCTAGCTATTTTGGCCAAAATTTTCAAATGTACTTGAATGGCCATTGCTAGGGGGAGGCTCTGAAGCCCCAGATGTGGAACTTTGCAGCCCCAGATCTAAACAGATAGTGGAGAGGGCAGGAGGATATTAGTGTGATATTAGTTTACCCAAAGTAGCTGCCTGAAATAAAATAGTCAATGTCCCATAGGTAACTGTTGAGAGTGGTGCTGGGGAACAGAACTTTGCTCTCTATTAGGTAGGTAGCATTATGGGATTGTAGAAACAGGAGAAGAGAAACACTGTCCTGAATGGAGATAGTTAAAACATAACTTTTAATCACAAAAAATCAGTAAATAGCGTGTAATGTAAAAACTTACTCCCAGAAAGCCCATATACATATAAAGGGATTATAGAGAGATAGTATGTTGGCTTAAAAAAGTATTACATTGGTTGTCATTGATAGAAATGTCACTGCAGACAGACAGAATGAAAGTGTCAGTGTCTAGCTCTAAGTATAGATGTGTAATTACTGCTAGATGTGGCTGGATAAATCACTCGAAAATGTAGCAGGAAAAAAGGTTCAAATGTTGCAAAATACAATGACTGTAGCAACTTGTATGTAACAAGTCCAGCACTGATTGAAGTAGCATGCACTCCTATACAGTGCTAGTCATGATAGAGCTAGACAGAATCAATATATAGGCTGATTGAAACTGCAGAGCTAATCACTATGTCTACAAGAGCACCTGTCATATAGATCGAGCTGTTGTACTGACAGGAATTGTTAGTGCTGGCTGATGTTGAAAAATAAATATATATAAAGTGAAATACAGAGAGGAGATATATTACAGAGAGGAGGAGAGATTAGTTAACAGTATCAATATTATGAATGACTAGATAAGGTACCAAAAATAAATGGAACACTGTCTGCTAATATGAAAAAAAACTGAAATTGTAGGATGTTACAAAAAATCCCTGTCGATACATCTGTGCCTTCAAGGACACCTATCTCCTTAATAAACCGCTACGCCAACTAGCTGATACTCGCTAATAGATGAACAAACTCCCCTGCAAGGCAAATGAAATCTAAATAGAGTCTGATATCTGCATTCACTTAGCGCCTGCCGTAATGGTATTAACAGGCATAAAATCCTCGGCCTCAGAAAAAAACTCACTTAAATGAAATAAAGTGTAGCAGAATCGAATTCCCAAAATCTAAAGTTAATCAAAGAGAGGAACGGAGGACTGGGGCTGAGACTGTCTGATACAATCTCAAGCCCTGACGCATGTTTCACAGATAAGGCAGCTTTTCAAAGGGGTACTGAATCCCTGTTAGTATAGAATTTAAATATGGCGCTCTCAGTCCTGATTGGTGGTTAGGAAAGATGACATCACCAATCATTGCTGACACAGTATGGTGGTCAAAACTGACCACAAAGCCTTCAGTATTTCCAGATTATATTGTAATAGATACAAAGTAATCAATATCCCATATCCCAGCTTCAATGCCTATTGAATAAATGTTTAAAACGAAAATGATTATTAATATTGGATTATGCAAATACCACATTTGGTGATATGAAAATTATTTTACTCTATTACATGTTAATTTGCTGTTAATTTAAATGCTCAATAGCTCAAATGAAAGGAACATTACAAAAATCATAATTAAATGGGATAAAGAAATTAAAATCAGCTTATAGATTGATAATAGTCAGCATATCAGGCTGAAAACTGAATGAAGGAGCGCTAAAAATGTTTTAATAGAGTGATAAACTTTGTCCTATCACTAATATGGGTAATCTCAAGAATAAAGTGTAAGTAAGTGAGAATAAGAATAGTCATATAAATGGTGAAAGATATAAAAAATCCATCAGTATATATCAAATATACATACGTGTTCAATATACTTTTGATGTATTATTATTTTATTTTAATTTACGTGCCAAAGTAAAAAAATCAGAAAATCTAAGGTCATTATTTAATGTATGAACAGAGTATAGTTAAACTCCTCATTAAGTCCCTACGGAGTTTCTGGGATTCGGTGTCAGTTTTTCAATGGCTTGAAACCTCAAATTGTCCACATTGCCCTGATGAAAATTCACAATGTATCTGGCTACTGGTGTTGGTGTTTTTGATAGAGTTCACGTGTTGGAGAATCCGACGGCGAAATTGTTGGAATGTTTTCCCAATGTACTGGATACCACAGTTGCATGTGATTAAGTATATTAATCGGGTAGTGCTGCAGTTTACCAGTGCATTGGTTTTGATGGTGATTTTTGACTGTGTCGAAGTAGTGGACTGTGAGGGGGTAATAAATTTACAAGCCTTACAGTGGCCACATCTGTACGTGCCCTTGGTGTTTGTGAGCCAGTTAGATTTTGAGGGGGTAGGAGCCAGATAACTATGTACTAGAAGGTCTTTTAGGATTATGCAGTAGTATGGGCCAATGTTTGGAAAAAGTTTCTGTCTTTGTGCTCCAATCACTATCAAAGGTGGCTATGCATCTAGGAGTCAAGGAGTTTGATTTGATACGTGTAGATCTCAAACTTTCAAGTCTGTTTGTCTCACTAGCACATTGATAAGCTCTCTTATGGACCCTGTTCGGATATCCTAAGGCTTTGAGACGTAATTGCAAGACTTGACATTCTTGATAATAGGTGGCATCCTCAGAGCAATTTCTCCTTGCTCTCAGGTATTGACCATATGGAATAGATGCTTTTAGCTTGCGTGGGTGATGACTCTCCCAGTAGAGGAGGCTATTAGTTGACGTCAGTTTTCTGAATAGTTCAGTTTGAATAGTTCCATCCTCCATAAGTAGAATTTTTAAATCTAGGAAAACAAGTTCTTTCTCATTAATAACATGGGTGAGTGTTAGATTCAATTTGTTGTTATTCAAAGTTGTCATAAATTGTTCAAAGACTTGTACCGAACGGTCCATAGTAGGAGCATATGGTCAATATATTTGTACCACTTCAAGATGTATTCGTGGTACGGACTATATTGTGGGTCTTTAAGAACTTTTTCCTCCCACCAACCCAAAAAGAGATTTGCATATGTCGGAGCACAAGTTGTGCCCATAGCGTTCCCAGTCTCCTGCAAGTAATATTTGCTATAAACGTTAGGTAGTTATGGGTTAAAATGAATTCCAAAAGAGAGAGAATTAATGTAATCTGAAGTTCTTCATATGATGAAGATTCGAGGAAGAAACAACAGGCCACTAGACCTACCTTGTGTGGAATGTTGGAATACAAAGAAACCACATCAAGGCTTGCGAGCAAAGTGTATGGTGGCACTTGAAGCCCTTCCACAATTAACAGTGTGGATTTTGTGTCTTGTATATAGGATGGTAGATTGGTTACATAAGGATGTAAGATTTTGTCAACAAATTTACTGGCTCTTTCTGTTAAGCTATTATTCCCGGAGATGATTGGTCTCCCAGGGGGTGCCCTCATATTTTTATGCACTTTGGGCAAACAGTATAGAGTGGCTATTGTTGGGTGTTTGTGTGGTAATAGATATTTGAACTCATCAGAGTTAATTACTTTCTCTTCCATTGCTTTTGTTAGCAAATCTTCAAACTCTCTTATGTATATGTCAGTGGGATCTGAAAGGAGGACACTTTAACTGGACTGGTCATTAAGATGTGTCATGCACATTTCTATGTATGTGTTGCGATTTAATGAGACAATGTTCCCTCCCTTGTCCGCCGGTTTTATAATAACATTCTCCAGCATCTTCAGTTCGTTTAGGGCTTTACGTTCCCTATAGGTAAGGTTGTTAATAAGTGGGCATTCTAAATTACTATTTTCCAATACGTTAGTGGTCATTTCAACAAAAAGGTCAACGTGTGGGGTGTCCTTCAAATTCGGGGTAAACCAACTTAAGGGCTTCAGATTGGTCAAGGGTTTTGAAGGATTCTGTTCATCCAGTAAGTCTGTTAATACTTTAGAGAATTAAAAATCCTCTATGGATAGACCCAACTCGTTTGCCATTTGAAGGTCTCGTTTAGAATGCATAAGGTTTAGGGCTAATTTTCTCCCAAAAAGATTAATGTCCTTCGACCAACTAAATTTATTATGCCCAGGGGTTGGTACATATTAAAGGCCCTTATTTAACAGGGAGATATGATGTGCTTGAAGAGGGAAGTCAGAGAGATTAATGATTTTGTTTAGTGTCAAAATCTCTGACCTCGTCCCTGTCTCTTGTAAGCCCAACGATCCCTGTCCCTCAATCTCCCCCTTTGTTCGCGAGGGGGGTCCAGTCCTAAAAAAGTTTTAGAAGCAATGGAATTGTTTATGTCGGATGGAATTGGAGTGTCTAAGAATGAAACTGATTTATCAGTGCTCTTCAGAATGCTTCTAGTAGGTGAAAAGTTGGAAGCAGAATCGCTGTTGCGATTACTGTTGGTGTAATGTCTTTGTCCTGACTTAGAGGAAACTGTGTCTGAATCAGACCAATCAGTGTCTGCGGAAGTGGAACCTATTTGGTTGTTGGTGTTTCTACGGAATTTCTGTTTTTTATGAAAGATGTCACCCTCCTTGAAATCTTTAAAATCCCTTTGGAATTTAGTAAATTTCTTTATTTTTAGGTTTTGTCTAAAGTGTTCAATGTTTTTCTGTAGTTTGGTTTCCATAGGTGAAAAGAGACTGTAGACTCTATACTTAGAGCTAGACACTGGCACTTTCATTCTGTATGTCTGCAGTGACATTTCTATCAATGTCAACCAATTTAATACTTTTTTAACTCCACATACTATCTCTCTATAATCCCTTTATATGTATATGGGCTTTCTGAGAGTAAGTTTTTACATTACACACTATTTATTGATTTTATGTGATTAAAAGTTATGTTTTAACTATCTACATTCAGGACAGTGTTTCTCTTCTCCTGTTTCTATATTCCTAATTAGGGTTAACCCCTTCACTGCCCTATAGATTTTTTTTTCTATATTAAGCTTCCATTCTGTTAATTTTCTAAAGCATTATGGGATTGCATCGAATGACTGTGCACCATGTGCTTGCTTGCGGCTATAACTTCATTCAGATCCTTGGATTGGAGAGAAGATATAACATAGACTGCAGAGAAATGTCATGAATGACCCCTACTTATTGACTAGTACATGGCTTATTTTGCTTTGGGATCAAACCAGAATGTTTCTAGAACCAAGCAACGCCCCTGCTTTCTTGTAAACACAATACAATAAGTTATTTAGAAAATCAAACAGAAACAAAAAAAACAAAAAACTACAAACGTATTAATCACTTTAATTCAGATATCTCTTCATATATCTTGCTCTCTGTCACCGTTACTACCACTGCTCTTGAAAGAATCTTAGCAATTTAGGAAAAGAGTAGTAAATCCAGTTATTTTCTATTACAGGCGATTGCTGGTTATCGTCAAGCAGGATAACGAAGCCTTTGGATTTGAAATACAGGTAAGACGCGCATGTTTTCTTATCCATTGAAGGGTTATGTGATACAATAGTATTCTATGGTGCTGCATAACATGTAGTAAAACGTTTTTTGGACAGAGATTAGTTTCTATAAAAAATAAGCACCATCACTGCAAAAAATTACTCAATATTCTGAACATAATTAAAACATTGTAAATGTATTGTATAAATTGGAATGTAGGTGATGAGATATCAACAACGTGAAAACATTGCATTCATTTATACTGTTAATAAACAATGCACTTTCATTAAATGTAATAAAGTTTTAAAAAAATGAGAACGGAATGAGAACTGAACAGTTGTTTCTTATGAAAGAAGACAGTACATCTTGAAACCAGGGCCTATACTGTTAAATAATAGAATTGACAGCTGTACTTCCCAAAAACTATGCAGGGCCTTTCAGTTCCACAAACAGCTATGTGAGAGGGGGGTTTCCTTTTCTGTAAATAGATCTGGTGGGTTTTTTTCATATCTGCTTACCGCCAGGTTAAAGTAACACTATAGTGTCAGGAACACAAACATGTATTCCTGACACTATACTGCTAAAATTACTATTTTGGTACTCGGCCCCTTTTCTTGATTTCACTCACCTTTTTTCAGTGTTGTTCTGGTCTCGCAATGGCTGGCCATGCCTCGCCCCGCCTCCGTGGCTGAGATCAAGAAATCTGACAATCTCAGCCAATCCAGTGCTTTCCCATAGGAAATCATTGGAAGGCTATTACGCTTGTGCAGCAAAACACCACGTTGCACCAATCAGCATCTCCTCATAGAGATCCGTAGAATCATTTCATTTCTATGGGGAGCGTTCAGCATCTCCATGTAGAATGTGGAGACGCTTAATGCTAGTGCTGCACACTCTGCAGCACTGACCAAGGAAGCACCTTTCATGGCTAAGTGACTGGAGGTGTAACTAGGCTGTAATGTAAGCACTGCCTTTTCTCTAAAATGGCAATGTTTACATTAAAAAGCCTGCAGGGACTGACTATACTCACCAGAACCACTACATTAAGCTATAGTTGTTCTGGTGCCTATAAACAAAAAAAAACCAAAATAAAATTGCAAATTAATTGCCATAAAACAAGAATCATAGATGGAATTGTCATATTGTATTAATGGCTTTCTTACTGGCCGCAATCCCACCTACTGTGCTGAAGAAAACACTTGTACAACTAAAGATTGCATTAGAGACATCGTTGCTAAAGGGAATCTTCCCTGTAATATGTAGTGGTTATAGTTCTTGGAGAAAATGTTTTGTTCTGTAACATATCTCTAGAGGCAACAGTATCAGTAAGGAAGATTTCACGTTACTAACAATATGAAATCTGTGTTCTTTACAGACGTACAAACTGCAACATCAAAATGCGTATGCTTTGGAAATGTGTACATACGTCTGCAAAGTGCATGACAACAGCCCCTCCAGCTGTGCTGGACTGAAAAAAGGTAACTGTTTTGTCGTGATAGCATACACCACCTATTACAATCCGTGTTTTACATTAATATTATGATTGCTGAAACGGTTCTTTCTGTGAAATAGTTCTGCAGTGAAAAGATTAATGTGAATTTCAGTAAAGAATTTGTGAAATATCTGTTAACTGTTTAGTAAAACACAACTAAATTATGAAATTTGCAAAACATTTTAAATGTATTGTAGAAATTGGAATGCAGGTGACGATATCAACAAAGCGAAAACATTGCATTCATTTATATTGTTCTTAAACAATGCACTTGCTAATTTAAATATTTGCATTTTAGGTGATATGCTGGCTAATATCAATGGCATAAGTACAGAAGGCTTTACTCACCAGCAGACTGTCGATTTAATCCGCTCATCAGGAAATTATCTCAGGTAAGTGAGAATAACTCACAAAGTTGGTTTGTATCTCTCACACTTTTCCCAGAAGGTGTTCTGATATTTAGCACTATTTAGAATCAAAAAACACAAGGTGATTGTGATAATTTACTCGCTTAAAGTACATGCGGTTTAAGATTATTTTCTTGAGCGGCACATTTTGTCATAATGCCTATACATTTAATGTGATAGGTTTGTCCATGATTTTTCCATGGGAATTGCTTGAATTTTGCTCACTTTGGCAATGCAACTTTGCTGCTATGCACAAAGCAGTCAAGAGCAAAGCTGTATAGTGTAGAGAAGTGAGAATGAGCATGTGGAAAGAATTTGTAAGCCATGGCACATTTGCTGGACACAATAGTATAAGAAATGGTTAAATAATTCTTGATTATGATCCAAAATGACTAATGAACAGAATCCAACCATGGATTCAACTTTTTAGGTGTCATCAGCATGGTGTACATTTTGTCCAAAGTTGAAGTACTACTATCAGCCTATAGCTAAGTACTAAAGTTGTGGGGTAACCAAAAATGATACAACTCACCACAAATGTATGCAAACTCAATAATTACCATTGTGCAACATCTGCATATCTTTAGTAGGACCCTGGAAACAGTTCAGCTTGGGCACAGTAGTTTGAGCAATATTGTTTCCTCCATATTCCCAGAAATCCCAGCTTGACATGCAAATGTTGATTTAGGGAAGAGAATGGAAGACAAGGCATTTGTCAAGATTATTGAATCATTTGGAAAAGTAAACCTAAATACAATTTGATTGTAAAAGAAGATGGCAAATCTGTGCAAAGAACTTTCTTCATCCCTACGATTTATTAATCCGCATGTGATTCGCTAACCCTATTCATGAACATTTCCGTGGCCAGGTGCCACCATACACTAGCCACCTTATTATAATTATACACATGACCCATAAGTACCTTATGAACTTGCCTACTATTTTAGTATTATAACACATTTGAATTTCATTTTGATTATTTAAATACATGGTAATTGTTTCCTTTGATGATGTTGTTGTTGATGATAGAATTGAGACAGTGAATGGGATAAAGATTAGAAGAACGGAACTTGAAGCCAGGCTGATGTTTTTAAAGGTAAGTTATGTAGATATTCACATCTTTAGAAGTAATCTGAAAACTTAATTGTGGTAATATTATATTAACGTTAGCGTAAATGCAATTTACAACAGAGAAAACAAAATTGAGGACATTTACTTCCAAGAGTTGCATTTAAAAATGTTTGCAAGATCGTAAGGTCTGGTGGAAATATAATCAGCTGCTACCACTTTTACTGTGCACTACGCCCCCCATAATGCACGGCTAGTCTTCCAGCATGTCCAGCTAGATTATCAGAGATTCCCACAGACTCTGGAATGACAGAGGTTCCCTATCAATTATTAGTGTCATCACTAAAGAGTGACCTGGGGGAGCCATGTCCCCACCAGACCACCAGGGATCATAGCCCTGCTATAGCACCGGAGATGATAGTTCTGAGTTCATACCTCCCTGTATTGGGAGATATGCAGCTACGGATGACTGATCAATTTTTACCTGTAACTGGATATTATTTGGGATAGTTTTCAGGTGTGATTAAATAAGCACACACAAAGTCTTTCTAAAACTTAATATTTAACAACCCCATTCAGAAAACACTTTGGTCCCTTTTGTATTCTGTACTACTGTTTTTTTACTTGAATCTAAATATGAGATTAGTTTAAAGTAAGCTTTTTGCGTGTCCAAGTGGTTACATGTCTCCAGAACTGACTTTGTTCTAGAACTATGATTTATGAATACATTATATTTATTTTGTTGTGTCTTTTTACAAGTTAAATACGTAATAGGTATTGCTAGGATTTTTGCTGTATATTTTTTTATTCTTCCATAGTTCAATTTCTCTTCCTGACTATTTATTTGAAGCATTCACTCATGTTTCTTCACACCGATCAAAGATAGCAGATAAAAGGTTCAAAACGATAGGAAATGAGCTGTCGGTTTTAAAGGGGTCAGGTGCCTGCTGGGAAATATAACAGATTCAAAGAATTAGAGACAGGAAATGGAATGCAAATATATTTCAAAAACTGCTGAGCAGATTTCAGATATATGAGCACGATATGAATATGCGCATTGGTCACAGGCAACCCTGAGCTATAGATATGAAAGAACAGAGGTTTTTAAAAAATTTTTTTTTTTTTACCAGCATGAGTGACAAGCATCTATTTAATAAAATGCAACAGAATTCTAAATAAAAAGTAATTTATAAAAAAACTCATACAGTGAGTTAAAACAGTTTAGCGTCATTATTTTAATGTTTTAATTAGATAATTTCTAAGAGAGGAGTGCCATTTCTAAGAGAACCGAAATAAAGGTGTAGGGTTCGGTTTTGCAAATATCGAGTGACAGAGTTACATACGTAGCTTTAATATTTTAATGAAGTTTCCATAACTTTTGTTTCTATAAACCAAACTCTTAAAATTAATAAAACTTTGTTTTCTCCACAAAGCATGAATTTAATGAGAAATGGGGCGAATTGCAGACTTTATCCAGAAAAGAACAACAGCTGATTTATGGTAACTTTTACATTATGTTATAATTAGATTTATTTGGTAGATTATGCTATCTGTGAAATATTAGCTTTATACGAGAAACCTATTTCATATAAATGATGAAGATAATGTGATAAATGTATATTATTGCAGATTCAGAATAGAGAATAAACACACATTGCAGTGTGGATAAAAACAAATGTTTCTCGCAATAGATGGGTTGACAGCAGATTTTCTATTCTACAGAAGAGGCTTTCTATAAATACATAAATCACTGTTTATTAGATATATTCCTCAAATTAAAACATGCATGCAATTATTTATGCATTTTTTTTAAAACTGGGGTATATCTACCAAACAGCTTGTAGACGTTGCAGTTCATTTGTCTACACCCTTTGCAAGCCCTTCCCTTCTAACCCAACCCAGACTTTCTGTAACTGTCCAATCACAGACTTTCCAATGCTGTTCAATGAGAACACTGTGTAAGATGCTCTGGGCCATTGCTGCCTCTTGAGTTTAGCTCCACTTAGCTAAACAAACCAGGAAGTCACATTATGTATTGTCTGATTGACAGTACGGCGAGTGTAGCAAGGTTAATATATAGAGGTGTCAGCTTTTTGTAAAATGAAAAAATAGGACACACTCTTCACACAATGAGCACTTCAGCAAGCTAAAGTGCTTTACTATTCTGAATTAATCATTTAAATCCCCATACACTTGATTACTTATTTATCTTTCAGAGATGCAATCCTAGAACATAAGATTAGACCGTTTGTGTATCATGTATTAGGTCATCTCTGACAGTCACATACTTTTTCTTTTTCTCTTCATTGTAACTATCCTATTCTCAGTTCCAACCTAATGTCATAATTTTCACACCTCCCATTTTATGTAATCATTTGAATTTGTTCAATAATCCTTAAATTGCATTTTACATATTCTTTTAAAAAAAAACTTTGTTGAAAATGACCACCCCATTCAGCTTTACATTGGCTATTTAGCTAATGTATAATGTATTAAGTAAATTATAATTAATAGTAGGGATCGACTGATATTGATTCTTTAGAGCCGATACCAATACCGATAACTGTTACCAATAACCTGTAAACTGTTAGGCCGATAGCCGATAACGTACCGATACTGATATTATGTATATTTACCATTTTGAAAAAAGAAACAATTTCTACACAAATCTACTGTTAACTGAACATGTTTATTATTATTATTTACTTATTTTTTCAATTTTTTTTTATTAAGTGGTAAATGCACAAAATATACGTGCCAGTCAGATTTTTTAAAATGTTTTATTTAGTGTTCCTCTCCCCTCCCTTCCCGGTCCCTTAGTGTTCCTTTCACCTCACCTTACCTCCCCTCCCTGCCCCTTAATGTTTCTCTCCCCTCCCTGACCCATGGTGTACCTCTCTCCTCCCTGTCCCTTAGTGTGCCTCTCCCCTCCCTGTCTCTTAGTGTTACTCTCCCCTTACCTCCCCTCCCTGCCCTTAATATTCCTCTCCACTCCCCTCCTTGACCCTTAGTGCACCTCTCCCCTCCCTGTCCCTTAGTGTTCTCTCTCCCCTCCCCTCCTCTGTCCCTTAGTGTTCCTCTCTCTTCCTCCTCTCTCTGTCCCTTAGTGTACCTCTCCCCTCCCTTTCCCTTAGTGTTCTTCTCCCCTCACCTCCCTGTCCCTTAGTATTCCTCTCTCCTCACCTACCTGTCCCTTAGTGTACTTCCCCCCCTTCCTGTCCCTTTGTGTTCCTTTCCACTCTCTCCCCCTTAGTGTTCTCTCCCCTCCCCTCCCTGTTCCTTAGTGTTCCTCTCCCCTTCCTGTCCTTTAGTGTTCCTCTCCCCTCCCCTCCCTGTCCCTTAGTGTTTCTTTCCCCTCCCCTCCCTGTCCCTTAGTGTTCCTCTCCCCTCCCCTCCCTGACTCTTAGTGTTTCTTTCCCCTTCCCTCCCCTGTCCCTTAGTGTTACTCACCTCTCCCCGTCCCTTAGAGTTCCTCTCCTCTCCCCTCCCTGTTCCTTAGTTTTCTTCTCCCCTTCCCTCCCCTCCCCTCCCCTCCCTGTTCCTTAGTGTACCTCTTCCCTCCCTGTCCCTTAGTGTTCCTCTCCTGTCCCCTCCCTGACTCTTAGTGTTTCTTTCCCCTTCCCTCCCCTGTCCCTTAGTGTTACTCACCCCTCCCCGTCCCTTAGAGTTCCTCTCCTCTCCCCTCCCTGTTCCTTAGTGTTCTTCTCCCCTTCCCTCCCCTCCCCTTCCTGTTCCTTAGTGTACCTCTTCCTTCCCTGTCACATAGTGTTCCTCTACACTCTCTCCCCCTCCTCCCCCTTAGTGTTTCTCTCCCCTCCCTGGCCTTTAATGTCCCCCCTCCTTAGTGTTCCTCTCCTCTCTCTCCCCACATTAGTGTCTCTTTCCCTTCCCTGTCCTTTAGTGTTCCCCCTCAGTGTTTCTCTCCCCTCTCTGTCCTTCAGTTCCCCACCCACTTTAGGGCCTTAGAAGCTCCTGTACCACGGTCCGCTCCACTAGGCCATGCTACACCGAGTGACTGGCAGGAGGAGACCCTCACATTATTTGCAATATCTGTATCAATAGTGGCCGATACTGATATTTGCCAAAATCCAATATATCGGCCTATCCCTAATTAATAGAAAAGCATAAGAAAAGACAACATATAGTATAATTATATAGATCCATTGCTATAAAATACTAGACTGGGTTTATATCTTTTATTTCTCGTTGTACAGGAACAGTAAATGAAGCAAGAGTTGAAGAACAATTGGAATCCCTTCGTTTGGAATTATTTCCAAGCCACGCTCAATCACCAAAGTCTTTCTTGAATAAACACAGATTCTCAAGTGGAAGTAGTTACGCGAGTCACTTGAGTTTAATGACTGACTGCAGCGAAGACGGGTTTGGTCAGACATCTGTGTTTGATGAAGATTCAGGCAGTGAAGCTTTCAGCCGTCAGTCAAGTATAGACGATGACTACTCCAGTGTCAAGTCCAATGCACATTCTTCAAAGAAATCAACATTACTGCGTCATCGAACCATCAGTATGGCTAGTAGTGAGAGTGAATCACAGTCACCCGGCTGGGACACAATAAGACTTTCAAATTTTTTCGGAACACTGCCACGAAAAAGTAGGCGGGGCAGTGTTAGAAAAAACTTTCTGAAATTTATTCCTGGTTTGCACCGATCAGTGGAAGAAGAGGGAAGCCCAGTATGATATATTTGTCAATTTAATGACCTTTTACAGCATTAATGAGACTTGTAGACAAAGTGAATTAGGAGGAAAATTACAATCTCGTAGCCCATATTTTTGAACATGGTAAAGGCTGCTGATGAGGTGTTAACAATGTTTACACAATCACAGTTTCATAATTCCAACACTTTCCAAAACCACTTAACCATTATCGAATCAGTGAAAAAGGAACCCCGTATTGTACATCACGCACTGTGGAGATCTCAATCCTGCTGAAGGAGTTATCAACACTTTCATTGGACGATTCAAAACTTAGCAATTCAACACCTCATAGGACTTGAAAAGAATTTTAAAATACTTTAAAAACAAACAAGAAATGATACCACAAAATATTTCTATCAGGATTATTTAAAAAAACAAACTACAAATTCTAGTGAATTGAAATATGGAATTGCAAAATACGGGCTACAAAAGTAAAACTGTGTATATTGCCAAGTTTTAGAATTTGTCCAGATCTGGTATTGCAATCTGGACTTCAGTTTGCTAAAATTTAGATTTTAATGAATTATTTTTTTTACGTATTAGCTGAGGAGCATAATGAGCAACAGAACACCTATCCTGACTTGATGACATGGACATCCAACATAATCAGACATTCCTTGTAAATAAACTAGCACAATTAAGGGAGCACCTTAACTACAATTAACATAGCAAAATCAGTAACTTAAGAATTGCACATTGCATATCTGATCACCTATCACATATCTGAAATATCCGTTTAGGGAAACCTTAAAGAAACACACACACTGCAATGTCCACATTGAACAAAATTAGTTAATTATCTGTTAGCATTATTGGTTCATTCTTCTAACTTGAAACAGATAGCATGGCAATGCGTCTGTCATTGTACTGCAAAATATATACATAATATTTATATTTTGCAGTGCGCAATGATTGGCCAGTTTTCGCACCCTTTTGGTTTGTGCGATTTTCTATTTCCCTCAAAACAGTTACAGCGACAAAATGAATCTGAAAGATAATGGCATATGGATGAATCCTGAACCGACCAAAACAATCTTTTTGAGCCAAGTCAAATTCTCCTTTATATACTCAAATTTGTCAAAAACTATAACTCATGTTGGTCTAAATCAGGGGTTCTCAATGTTAGTCCTCAGGACCCCCTACCAGTCCAGGGTTTAGGGATTACCTGGGTGTGTCTAAGGTGTTTAGAAAAAAAAAAAAAAACACCTTAGAGTCTAAGATGTGTTTTCCCCTTTTTCTAAACACCTGAGACACACCAAGGTAATCCCCAAATCCTGGACTGGTAGGGGGTCCTGAGGACTGGGTTGAGAACCCCTGGTCTAAGGTGTTTTTTTCCCTTTTTCTAAACACCTGAGACACACCCAGGTAATCCCCAAATCCTGGACTGGTAGGGGGTCCTGAGGACTGGGTTGAGAACCCCTGCCTTAGAGTCTAAGGTGTTTTTTTCCCTTTTTCTAAACACCTGAGACACACCCAGGTAATCCCCAAATCCTGAACTGGTAGGGGGTCCTGAGGACTGGGTTGAGAACCCCTGGTCTAAATGGAAGAATTAAATTAAATTTATAATCAATATTTATGTTGTACATAGTGCTAGATAGATCCTTAACTACAATTTGTTTCTATGTAAAATGTGTATATAGAGTATATTGCCACACCTGTTTATCTGGCTTTGTAGATACCTGTCAAAATAAATATACATTTGGAACATAGACTGTTATATATACTCAAACAATATTCAGCTTAAGGTACAACAGATACAGTGGTTTATGCACCAAGCTTAAGAATGTTATTGAATTAGATTATGGCAGCTTTCAGTGCACAATGTACCTTTCAGAGTATCAACTGTTAAAGTATTCCACAACGTATATGAGGAATCCCACCTGTTTAGACCCAAATTTATTATAAGGAATTCTAAAGGTAGCAATCATTTGGCTTACCTACAAATTACTACACTTGCAAAAATTAGTTTGAGTCGGTTTGACCAAAAAAAAATTCCTGGTAAATGTCAAACAAATTGATTCTGAATGGTTTTACCTGTGGTTAATTCTGGTACCTGATGACTTTTTGCACAAATTTCCATTTCACAGCTGCCCTTTGGCCAGTTCTAGAATTGTTATTCTATGTATAAGGGTCAATATAGTACGAATAAAGTATGGTGAAGTATAATTAGTGCATATAAATTGCATATAAATTATGTTTGCAAAGCACATTAGATAGAAGGTCAAGAATGACAGTCGTATGTTTCTTATCAAACCTTTCTGTTTTTAATGTTGCCCATTTAAGTACAGTTTGGTTACAAAAATGTGATGGTTACAATGGTTAATTTGCTCATCAATCCAATGCTGTGCTGTCTTTGGGGTGCTTGGATTTGGGTATTGCCAGGGTACAAGGTAACATAGGGGCTGATTGAGCTGCAGCTCCAGGCCCATGCCCATGGAATAGGCCTATTGGTTAAAAAAAAAGTAAAAATATATATATTTTTTAACTACTCTTTACATGCTCTTTCTTAAGAGGGATGTAGGGGAACAAGACTTGTGTGGACTAGGTGACCGTGAAATTAATTAAAGTAAAGCTGACTTTGCAAACTATGTAAATACTCATGCTGCTTCAGACTCTCTAATACTGTAGTATGTTCTTCTACACTCACTTTATACACCTTTTCTCTGTCCCAGACAGTATAACAGGAGCTTCTGCCTGCAAGTAAGAAGGTAAGGAGAGGAGTGGAAAAGTGAGTGCTAGGGGACAGTCCTTAGAAAGCGAAGAGCTAGCGCATCATTAAAAGCATTTATGCCAAGCTCATGGTGCTGTCTGCACAGTATGCCCTTAGCTGGCCAGCCTGCATGATCGGGAGGCAGCCTGGCATGCAGTCACGCCAGGCTAGTCTTCCAATTTTTTTGTGCAGACACCTCCCCTTTTTGTGCATGTTGCCCCTTTAGGCGGTTCTAGTTACATGATTTTTGTCAGTGACTCGCTCACCGACATCCTACTTCACCAGATAATACTGTTAGAGGGTATGGATTTACTTGTAATATGAAAGCCAAAGATTAGCATAGGGTATGTGTTTTAATCACGTTATGCCAAGTTCATAAAAAATAAAAGGCATACATTATGTATTTTCAAATAAAAATAAAAATATTTCTCTTTTACTTTCTACATGGGCACAAAAGAGGCCCTTTTACACAAAAAAACAAGGAGGAAGGTGAGATGTTCTGAACAGTGAGCGCAGTGACTCATATACACTAAGGGGGCAGAGATGTCATGGTTTGGGAATGCAACAAGGATAGTAGTGGGTTCAGCTAAAAACTACTCTCCTCCGTATGAAGGGTAAAGGGATATTCCAATCAATATTGCTGCTACAGTTTATTGTAGTGGTTATAGTGCAAGAAGAATTTTGGTGCGGTACTTCCATTTTTTGTCAAACTATTCTCAGATATAACAATGTCTGTTTAATCAGTCATCCATGGAGAACCCTCCCACAAACATTGGCAAACATTGTCACCATGCACACTGGACCAATCTTACTGTAACTCTTAAACCATTCTACCCCCATTGCCCCCTCTGATTCATTTTAAGCTTCCCACCAGATTCCATCAAAATCAAACACTAAAATATTTAATAAAAAAGATTATGTGTGGTACAATTTAATTAATGGTCCAATTAAAGTCACATGCATGGTAGATATACAAAAATGCTTGAATGTCACTTTTCTGTTTCACATAACATACCTGTCTCTTCCTGTGACACAATTACAAGTTATTACAACCAAAATAACTGCACCGGTTAACAACAGGATGTGGCAAAAAAAAAGGTTTATGTTCAATCCTGTACAGTTATCGCAAGCAAAACATGACTGTGGGTAACATTTTACAAATACGATATCTCATTTAAAAATAATTTCAATACAATTAAATTACACAAGCCTACATGACAATACTATTATCTACATAGCACCAGCAAAATTCTGCAATGCTAGATACTTATTAGATAAAAATATATGAAAACCCTAAGGGTTATGTATAAAACGTAATTCTGGAGTAACATTTTTAAAAGCATTGTAACCCCCAAGGAAACCATTAGAATATTCCTGCTGGGTATTCCATTTTTAGAATTTTAGCCCAAAATGAGTCTCTAAACAGATTTCTTGATATTTTGTAATTGTGCTGGATGCAAGCTTGCTATCTGAAAAGGACGTGGCACAGATGCTAAGGTGGTTAAGGTGCAGTTCTCTCCGTGACATCACCAAGTGGGCAGACATTTCTGCAGTAATAAATGTATAAATCGCTGCTTCTACAATATAGGATGAAAAATCTAAGGATGAAAAAGACGTTAATGCCTCTAAGGTGTATGAAATTATTATTTTCTTATTTATATAGCGCAATCAGATTCCGTAGCGCTGTACAAATGTCCTGTAATAACCAGTGTGGCTGCAAGACAAATATTCAAAATGTGAAACTGTAAAAGTTTAAACTTTAATAAAACTCTTCCAAAGTACAACATATTTCAGCCAATACCAGATAAAATGATAGCTTTGTCATTTCCCATTGGATAATCATAGTTAGTAATTGTAAGTCTGTTCAAACATTTTCTCAACATGTATCTCTGTACATATAATTATTCTCTACGTGTATTTCTGTACACATGTGTAAGAAGACTATTATTACATAATTTATGTCTGCAGGGGTAGCTATGTTGCTATATCTACACTCAGTGAATATGCAGCTGCTTACTGTCGGTCACACAGGAACTTACATGCAAATGATAATGGCTCAGAAATGACTACAGTCTGTGTAGAGACTGGAAAGTCACATGATTGCTTTTTTACTTTTAACTTACTAAATACTACAACTCGAATGTATGACCATACAAAAATATTGGTAAAATAACTTTTTTAAAGTTAGATTTTGTTTCTCAAACACTAATTCTGCTATTTTATTTGCATCATTGTCTATTTTATCACTTTCATGGAATTTGACATGTCCTACAGAATGAGGTTTGAGTAGAAAGTGAGGGTGGATAGGAGCAATTCAGCTGCGCTAGAAAAAGGCCCTACAAGGCACAAAGTGCCTGACATTTTAGAATGTCTAAGTAAAAATGAAAGAGGACAAAGCATGGATAAAGAAAACTTAAAAAGTAAGAATTTAATTACACTAGCACAGCTGGCCCCCATATGCCAATGCACCATCCCTCCGATAAATGTAGGCATGTGTCCCCACTCCTCCCCAAACTGCTTCAAATCCCCCACCCAAAGTCCCGCAGCACAGTGGGCACCTAAAGGTCCTGCCAGCCCATAGGACCCCCTCCCCCGTAAAGTCCGTCAACTGTCTCCGTTCTGCACCTCACCTGTGTCCGCCGGTCTCCGGTGGGACAACATGAGCGGCTCCATATGTCTCTCCCATCACTGGCCACTGGGAACGAGAGATGAGATACCTCTAAGCTACCGGTCTGCTGGAGGCACCCACATGTCAGCCCACCTGGGCTCTCAGCAACAGGAACAATCTGCTATAGGCCCGCCTCAAGGACCGGACACAGAGGCTCTGGTCAGGTTGGTAAACTGCAATCAGGTATCAGCTGCGGTGGCCCAGCACACCCAGTGAGAAGCTGTAAAGTAGTAAGGTGGGTTTTGCAGCATGAAGGCAGAGGGCCAGCCATGGCAGCCTTCAAGCGATTGTGTTGATCGTTGAGAGGCAAAGGTAGGCAGAACAAGGCTCCATAGCAGGAGGGACCTACATAACATATTTGTAACAATCAACGTGCGATATACAACAGTGGACCGGGGTAACCACCCCTGCCCAGGAGGGAGGGGGGGGAGCGAGGCCGCCCCAGCAAAGCTCGGGTGTTCAGCTCTGGTTGCATCCTCATTGCATGGGGTGATTTTCTCATTCGGAGACTAGGCATATTGCAGGCAGTGAGCAGCCAGTTGTTGCATGTAGGCAACCACATGTCAGGCTCTGATGTCAGAGTTGGCTGCAGGTGGTAATTTCACCTCCATCTTGGTGGTATTGACTGCATTTTAAAGTCTACCGATTGCCGGGTAACTCCTATCCATGGATCTTTGCACCTCTAAGGCATACAAGCATTCGGTGTACATTATTTCTGCAGATTTTTTAGGCTCAAAGCCAGAGGTGTGAGAGATGGCTGCTGATCAGCTCATCGGCCCCTCCCACGCCTGTCATGAAGGATTTTTTTTCCTTTTTGTGGCATAATTCAAAATGGCTACAATGTGCTGGTTGCCTGATTTTGTATCAACAGCATAAAAGAATGGGCTTCAGGGTTGAATTTGATGGACTTTTTTAACCAAGAAAACAACAATGTAACTATGTAACAACAATGTAGCTATTTTTTCTATCTCAAATCATTTTGTCTGAAACGTAAACATTGTGATTCATTTTTAAATGAATGGATTTGTTTGGGCAAATAGCTGGAAATTCATTGAAAACCAATTGAAAGGTATTTCAATTGGGCGAATCGAACAGTTTATGGGCGAATGCAACAAATGAATATGCCTAGCTTAAAGGGCTTGTGGGGTGCAGCCTCACCTCACCATTTATCTCCTGATTGACAACATCATGAGGTTCTGTACATGTCATGTTAATGTCGACGGCAGTGATTTGCGATGTTAGACTTCACAACTCATGGAACCTATGTATGTGTCACATGATTTGGACCACCCACACAGAGATCAGTGAGTTTTGTGCACAGAAAGTGGTAATTAATTAGTACTTGTCCCCCAGGCCAATATTTGCCATTCCTGTCCTGATACTGGATAAATCAATGAATCTCATTATCTTGAAAATAGCTGCATGCATTTCCTTTAATGCAATCTATAATGATAACAATAATAATTATGACTGTAACATAAACACACTATTAGTTTAGAAACAAGTGAATCTATATTTCACTAATAATTTGATTGATAATTAACACATTAATTTGCAATAAAGATTAAACAGTATCAATCACACTAAAGTAAGTGAACAGATAAATACATAGTTAAGGAATGCATCTAGTGTGCCTGCCCAATTTATTATTGATACCTGAGTTTAAAATTTTAATGTGAATTGTAATGTGATGATTAAATGTTTAAATATGAGCCACTTGCACATATCATTCTTACGGGGATTATCAGAACAAAACAAGTAGTGTACATTTTAAGCCAGTCTCCGAGAAATAATGTGACTGAGAATGGTCACTTGCTATGGATTAGAGATTTAGAACAATTGTTGGTGCTGTTTACAAAGCACAAGGCACCATTATTGTATGAATACAAAATCTCTAGTACCATTGGTCGGGCAGCTGCATACTAATTACAGAACGTTTAAAACAAAAGTTTGATACTTCTAGTTGATTCTTTGTGGGAGATTCTGGCAAATATGAGTCACAGTTCTCTGGAATGAGATTTCATTTAACGAATCCTCAGAATGTTATTGTGTGTTCTAATTAGAAACTATTACAAAAAGACAAGAAGCTTGTAAAATTATTTTGTATTTAGTTGTCCGTGAAGTCTTTAAAAAAACATCTTTTTGGTTTTGCTACAAGATCTTGCAATTGTTCCAAGACAGCAGCTATGGAAAATGCGAAACATCCGGGACACAATGGGGATCCACCAATGACTACAAGTCCAGTACAAATAACTGACATTATAGATGAAATGACCACCTCGGTGACTTCAGCTGTTTTGGAAACACTTGGATGTGATCAGGACTTGAAATTGAGAGAAAACATGGAGGATGATGTTACCCATATAGAAGACCAGGCTGAATATGAAGTGTTGAACCCAAAAACTCAGGATATAACAGAAGGTATTTTCGTTTTGAAATTTGAATTATTATATAGGGACTTTCTGGTTATATCATCAGCATAATTCACTAAATCTATGTTTTATTACAAGGGCACAGGCCCTCTAGATGCTATTATTCTAAACTTTCCAGAGTTCTCTTCCAGTCTATGGTTTGGCAGAAGAATGTGAGGAATTAAAGGACCAAAAACAGAGACCTCATTTCAAAATAATTCTCATCCCTGAAGGATTCTAACAAACACATTTATCTAGATTAGTGGTTCCCAACCCAGTCCTCAAGTACCCCCTGACAGTTCAGAATTTAAGGATTACTCAATTGTGTCTAAGGTGTTTTGGGGGGAAAAAACAAAAAACACCTTAGACACAACAGGGTAATCCCTAAATCCTGGACTGGTATGGGGTACTTGAGGACTGGGTTGGGAACCCGTGATCTAGATCATAAATAAATAAATAAAATATTTTCCCATGTCAATAATTCCTTAATATTAAGATAAACTATTAATTATTGCTTATTTTGTTTGATTTGTTTCACATAACATATTGCATACCATTTGCGAGAAATCAATCGTTAACAAAATCATTGATCATAGCACTAAGGAATGATTGATTATAGGGAAAGCACTCTATTATTCATTAAACTCAAAGCTATTAACTATGAATAAATATCACTCCTAAACATAACTATTTGTCCCACTTTTCATGTGACTATTTAACAAAATGAGGTTCTGCTGATAATGACTTATAATTAGTGATGTCCCGAACTGTTCGCCGAACGGTTCGCCACGGTTCGCCACGAATGGTTCGCCGCGGACTCCAGTCAACAGACACATTCCAGCCAATCAGCAGCCCCTCCCACCTCCTGGACAGCTCACTAAGAATGCAGCTTCAAAATGGATGCTGCCCAGGAGGTGGGAGGGCCTGGGAGGGAGGGTCTGCTACTGATTGGCTGGAATGTGTCTGCTGACTGGAGTCCGTGGCGAACTGTGGCGAACCGTTTGGCGAACAGTTCGGGACATCACTACTTATAATATTATCACTATAGTCTATTGAGATGATTATTTTTATCTTAACTATCAAAGTGAATTTCAAATATAAGGACAAAGCAGCTAAACTGGAAGCAGAGCTAACATGGGATATTTGGCCTTAAATTTGAAATTCAATTTGAAATCCTGCCAATTATCACTTTAGTGTTTAGTGAATAACCCTGTTTCAGAATTGAGAATTGATGGGAATGCAATGTGAACTTCAAATTTAGGGCTGAAGGTTTGGATTAATGCAGTAAGAGTTGTTTAGACTTGGAACAGGCAATTTTTTGAAGATGGAATATAATCAGTGTTCCAGTAGCATGGTAGATGGACTTTAAATGTGGTTAGATTGTCTTCCACCAGAACAACTGTAAATGTCAGGCTTGGATCTACCTGGAGAATGTGATGGAAGTGTGTTTGGGTTCCATCTGGCATGGATAAATGTAGTGTAGTCAATAAGCTGTAAGATCAGACTGGATAATAATGGATACGCACATTGCAAAGGTCTATGTCTGCGTCTATGCCTGGTTGTCTGTCCTTGCTACAGCTGCACAGATCCATTTTCTTGCTTGGGGTTATTCCTTATTTTAGTTTTGTGTACCTAAGTCATGTCCATCCCACTGCCTCCAGGGCTAAATAGCCAAGCTCAGTTCCACCGTAGTGTTACTTTAGATCAATACCAAAAACCTGTTACTGGTGGAATTAATTTAAAAAATGGCTGTAGGAAGCACTGTTAGAGGGGGAGAAATATCCATCCACCTGACCTCCTCCCGATCTTGTTCCATGACTAATTTGGTTAACTCAGCAAGTTCCAAGGTGCTATGAGATGCAATGTGAGATCATAGCACAGGTTTGATTGGCTTAAAACACAGAGCAGTAATTAAAATAATGATTTGTGATCAGAAAATATCCAGACTAGAGCTTACTTTCAGCGTCTTATGTGCTGTAAAATGCACTTATCGTTTTCACATAAATGGAAAAATAGATGTAAAGCTGTTTAGCTTGCTGAAGCGCTTTATGTGTGAAAGGTGAGTCCTTTTTTCCATTTTCCGAAAAGTGCAGATTTCAATAGACTATGATACTTTTATAAATAAACCTTGTTACACCTCCCTGGATTCCAATAAGGCAACTGGTCCTCTTACTTGCTGGTTTGTTTGGAGAGTTTGCAAAGGTTTCAGATAATAGAGATAGAGCTTTTGCAAGCTGCTTTTAAATATACTCCAATATATCTACTTAACAGTGCTTTTTATATTTCTTTGGTATGTGTACAGTGGTGTCCCTTTAACTTATGGTTTATAATGCACTAATGTAGTCCAGATGGCAGCAATGCCCTCCAGTTATTTTCTGCCTGCTCACCAGCATCACACGATGCCAGCAAAAAACCGATGCCAGCAAAAAAAAATTGGTATTTACCCGAGTGTGTGTTGTCAGTGTAAGTGTGTGTTATCGGTGTGAGTGTGCAAGCGAGTACATTTTTTTTTCTTAAATAATGTTATAATTCAGACAGCAAAGCATTTAACTAAACACATGTAGGGCACACAAGGTCATCAAACAGTTAGTTCAAACATACTTAGTTCACACAGACATGCACACATCATACTAACAAACTGTACGGGTATATTAACAAACTGATCACACACTCATGTCACAAATAGTTCACACAATTTAGCGCATACTATCTGACATTAATCTCACGCATTCTCAGCTCATACTAACCGACACTCACTCTCAATCTCACAATAAAATATACTCATACTTACACAACACATAAATCTTATTAGAGCATACTCTCATTGATAGGTATCTCATATATACACAGCTCACATTTGTGAACATTCGTTTTACACACACACATACACACACACACACACACACACACCTCATATTAACAAACACTCATGCAGATTGCTCATTGCAAATACATTATTACATACACTTTCTATTGCACACGAACTTTAATGATATTACCGGGTACTTCTTTCACTGATACCTATCTCAGATTAGTGGGCACACATATAAATTACCCTCAGATCAAACTAACGTACACTTATCTTGCACATACCTAGCTTCCACAAATTTACAATCTCAATCTGTGAGCATACTTATCTCACACATTCGTACCACAAACACACTCTCAGTTACAGACAGCAATTCACACAGTAACAACAGGAAAGGTTTCTGAAAGATGCATTAAGCTGGAAGGAGGGAAATGGTATTTGAAGCCAGTGGAGGGTCTACTTCTCTTTTACATCATCTAAAATGCTCTACACTGCACAGACTGAGTATCTAATTGAATGTTCACTCGAATAGAGTATCCCCCTCTGTCTCTGAGTACTTGCCAACAGAAAAACATTCAATACAGCAAAACCAAGAATTCCTATTACACTGAAACTTTTGAGCCTATGCGCAATATGTGGGCCTTTAGCAACTGCCATTTACTGTGTGTTTACTGTACCTTAGGGATTAACAGGGTCCCCTCTTTCCCAGTTTATAAATGTGCTAATTTCAAAACATGTTGTTCCCTGTATAAAGTGTCTGAGTTGCACTCTCCTGGATGCCAATCAGAGACAACACAAAACAACAGGGAGTATTTCTAACAGGGAAGCATTGTATTCAGTATTTCTGTATGTGTCGCATTGCCAGCACAGTCTGTTACCCATGTGACTCTGTGTCCCAATCTTTCTCTATAGAAAGCAATGGACTAGATTGGTCAGGAGATCTCCCCTCCTGGAGAGGGATTGGACCTGCAGAGAGAAATCTAACCACTGGATTAGTAATTAACCATTATTTTAGAGCATCAAGCGGCAGGGGAATGGGGAATTTTAAACATTTCAGTATTATTTCTAACCCTTCCTCTGACTGTACTGAAATCTGCAGCCATTTTGTCTGGGAATTTGTGGACTTACACTGTACATAAAAGTTACTGTGTAATGAAACTGAACAACGATTAGTGAAATTGCTGTAACTGGGAAAAAATATCTCAAAGTCTACTATTTACTAAAGCAGGTTGGATGCAAATTGAAATTACACATCGTGATGAGTTTAGTGGCAAATAATATTCACATTATACAAACAATATATGACAATGTCAAAACTCTGACTTGATAACACTGTTACCACTATCTGTTAAGGTAAAAATGGCCCTATATCTTAATCTTTAAGAAGATCTATTGCAACATGAATGGAACCATTGCATAATTTAATTGGACAAATTTTAAGCCAAAAAGTATTTGAAAAGTATCTGCAAAAACATTTCTAATAATGAATAAATACCTCAAAATATTTCATTGTGTTTACACACAAGCAGAACAGACACTTCAGACATTTTTCCAAAGATGATAATGTCCAACTATTAAGTAATCTTTTTTGACAGTTAGTATTTAACCAGCGCACGTAAAAAAGAAATAGCATAGCCAAATAATTAAAGGAACACTGTAGGTACCCAGAACACTTCAGCTCATTGAAGTGGTCTGGGTGCAAACTCCCATCATCCTTAACTCTAGAGTAGTAATTATTGCAATTTTTAGATAATAATAATTTTGCAATAATTACCTGCTAGGGTTAACTCCTCCTCTAGTGGTTGACTACTAGACAGCCACTAGAGGGACTTCTGGATGCTTGGACAACTTTTGGTCGCCTAAACTACGCTGGACGTCCTCACACTATGCATGAGGCCTTCCATCGAGTTTGTTTTCCTGGCACTATATTTTCCCTTTAACTCAACAAATACACTTGTTTATTATTCCCAATATATTGTATGATCTAGTTAACATGTTTAAAAAACATACACACATGTCAATGTCAATTTAGAACACAACAGGTTAAGGGTCAATAACCTTATGATCTCTGAGTATTTCCCAGTGGTAATGTAACTGACAGGAAACGGTTGTGACATTTGTGAATTTTGATTAAATTGAAGACACTCAACGGGACCATATTTTTACATATATTTTTGAGTTGCAAATTGAGAAATTGCCATAACCCCATGCATTGATGAATTAAAAAAAAACTAGTAACAATTTATTTTTACAGATTCCGAAGCAGACTCTCCACCACAGGATGATTTGAACAATAAGTCCAATGAACAGCCACTAGCAGGTACTGATGATTTACTGTCTACCAACGATGATAAATATTTAATTGAGCTATCCGAAGAGACGACATTGATGATTCACGAAGAGGACGATAACACATCTTTTGAAAGCGACAAGGAAAATGGAGAGGAATATCTTCCAGAAGATCTTTCCGAAGAAAATGGACTAAACAAGTCTCACTCAGAAAGTCCCAGTGGAAGCCACCCAGATTCCACAAGCGGACATCATGCCACAGAGAATAGACCTGAAATATCTAGACACAGTTACTCTAAATATGACACTGTATCTTACCGCAAGATCAGAAAGGGTAACACGAAACAAAGAATTGATGAATTTGAGTCCATGATGAATTTATAACATCAGTTCCACAGCCTAACAATTTCCCATTAATGAGATTTGCTACCTATTAACTGATTAATAGACTGTCTTATACATGTAATTGCTTTGAAATAATTTGATGCTCTGAATATTTTGGTACAGATGCTGTTTTAAAACGATAAAGAAATAGAAATCAGTATTCCTTGATATTAATTGAATTACTAATAACTAATTCATAAAATAATGTAAAAAGAAAAGTAATGCGAGTATGGGACTTGCATATTATGGAAAAAGACCTGTATTAACAAAAAGTGATATAAGCCATAGAAAGTGATGGGAGTAATAAAAACAACAAAGTTGCTTCTGATTGATTTATTTAAATCAAATAAAATAGGATTAAGAATAATTATAAAAATTACAGCATGATGTTTACTATACAAGGCAGATTTTCTTTCGGATTAAAAATAAAAAAGCGCCCAATCAAGAATTTTATATATGTATTTCATCATGTCTGAATATTGAATATATTGAACATAAACTGGAACAGTGTGGTGACTTTAATAACTAACATAATAGTTTAATTATCATAATTAATTTTAATTGCCGTAATTCTGAATAAAGGTATAGGATATGTAAAAAAAAAAAAACACAAACAAATTCAAAATCTATTTTATTGATTCTCACGTGTATTGTAGAATTTCATATCAATGCTTTTTATATCTGTCCAGAAAATAAAAAAAAAAACTCCAAAAGCTACAGTAATGTTTTTACATGTTTCTGGCAAGTTCAAAACGATAAGTTCTCATGATAATGTACGTGTTTCAACAGCAGCTTGGGGTTATGGGTAATTAATGAACATGCAGTAGGAAGAATTCCTTCGAGCATGTGCATGTGGTTACATGCATACTGCTATAATAAAGATCAAGAGAAGAGAAGATTTATATGAACACATAAACTTTTAATTTTTCCATCAGCAGTGCTGGCTTAGAGCTTGTTGGGCCTGGAGCTGAAACAGTTGACGAGTCTAATGAGAGATGCTGAATTTCAATTTATATTGTCATAGTATTTATGGACACGTGTGACATAAAGCAGAGGTCCTGCTTGTTCACACGACCTCTGGATTCTCCCTCTTGCATGACCGTAAAGTCACATATGTGGCTTCGAAGCTGCGCACACAAAATAAAACCTATTCTATGGCACAGTACAGGCTGAGTATTGTGAAGCTATCAGTAATTAAATAAGACAGTTTGAAATAAATGGACGGCCACTCTAGTGGAAGCAGGCTAATTCATAATACATACATTTAAAAAACAAAAACAAAACCTAAATATTTACATTGTGGATCCGTTTCAAATAATGGACATGGAGCTTCCACTCCATTGGCCCCATGTTACTCTAGTCCAGGCTTTTGATTATTATACTGACTTGTCTATGTTCTCCTCGAATATTTTTAGAGTTCTTTTGGGATAAACACATAACCTATTTCTTCAGAGTTAGTTTCTAGAATATGCATAATTTAGAACAGTATTGAATGAAATGAAGACAAGTGGTCATTTATGGAATAAACACTTCAAGCAGCATAGCAACTACAGTGAAGTGTAGTGGTTATAATGCCAGGAGTTCTTTCGACTGGAGGCCTTAGCTCAAGAGAATCTTCCTGTTTAGGAAGCTTGGCTCTCCAACATTAAATGTGGAGGGGTGGGAAAACTAGACTTTCTATTTACAATGGAACTCCTGGCACCATACCCACTACAAATGAGCTGTCCTGATTATGCTTGGATTGTTTCTTTAAAAAGAAGGCACATGAGAAAAACATAACAACGGTCACAAACAGATGTTTGAATTGCTATTCTAGGACACAAGCTTTTAAGACATGGAATTGGAGAAAATGGTAACAATACAATGTGAGAAGGAAAATAAATGCCCTATGTATTCTAGAATGAAGAATCTTCTTTTCATACAAGAAACAGCATTGTGTTTTCCATTCTAAGAGACACAAACCCCTGTTTGTTTTCCCCAATTGTTTTCTAACTGAGAACCAATCCTAACAAGGCTTAATTTAACTTAAAATGAATTACATTTTCGCCCTCTGAAAGCAAAACAAGGTTATCTTTGTCTTGATGATAAGCCTTCTGGTTTGGGTATTTTGTAAAACTATCAGTGCAAGAATTATTTGTTTCTAGAACTTTTCATTTTTCGCTGCTTGTTTCGAAGGCCTGGTTTAAACTGGACCAAATGGACACAGCACGTAATAATTCTCAGACACACACACAATGGTAAGCACTATGTAGGCAGAGATCTGAATAATATAGATATATATATATATATGTTTGTAATATATGTTAAGCAGATTATAGTGTTCACATAGCACAGAAAATGAAAACTTACTTTAAGTCAACTAAGAAGATTGGCACCACCATCGAGAGCACATGGCCATCTGCATCATTCTGTCTGGGATGTAGGACGAGGTGTCTAGATTGTGGACACATCATGGTTAAATTCAACCTCATTTCCACTCTACTGTCCTGTGTATTCTATCTGAATCACCCAACCCCCTTTCTATGTCCCAGATTTTTTGGACGTTTGAGTTTAGAGTTACGTTAAAGGGCCACTATATTCGTTTTCTTTGCAATATAGTGCCCTGCGGGTGCCCCCACCCTCAGGGACCCCCTCCCGCCGGGCTCTGGGGGGAGGAAGGGGTTAAACTTACCTCTTTCTCCAGCGCCGGGCGGGGAGCTCTCCTCCTCCTCTCCTCCCTCTTCTTCTGTCACCGGCTGAATGCGCATGCGCGGCAAGAGCCGGGCGCGCATTCAGCCAGTCCATAGGAAAGCATTCAGAATGCTTTCCTATGGACGCTGGCGTCTTCTCACTTTGAAAATCACAGTGAGAAGCGCGGAAGCGCCTCTAGCGGCTGTCAATGAGACAGCCACTAGAGGCTGGATTACCCCTATTATAAACATAGCAGTTTATCTGAAACTGCTATGTTTATAAAAAAAAAGGGTTAAACCTAGCTGGACCTGGCACCCAGACCACTTCATTAAGCTGAAGTGGTCTGGGTGCCTATAGTGGTCCTTTAATTGTGAAAACACAATACATATTTGTTCACCAGAACATTTTGGGACTCTGTCCATTTGGGACTTCTTGAAATCCATGTCTGTTGTCACTAAAAAAAGAGTTCGGCCTGAAGCACCTTCCATGCATACTTTAAATTTCCCTTCTCCAGTTAACCCTTCACAGTTTCTCCAAGTAGCTGACTTGTAATGACCAAAAATCCCAGCCCAAATCCCTGTCTTTATATGTGCCAGTAATTCTCTCCCTTTTCAGGAGATCAGCTACCTTTTGGAATTGGATCAACAGGGGACATTACAGCTGTATCTGCCCAATATTACTTACACTGTTATTAATAAATTGATCGTGAAAGGACCCCTAGTTTCTACGTAAACTAATATGCCTTTGCCAGGCAGGCAGCAAAATAAAGTTTTTGAATTCTCAGAATTTCACAATACACACAGATTCAATCGATGCAGACTGCACCATGTTTGGACTTGCTTTACCTAAGAGTGACTTCTTAGGATTCTGGGATTCACCTCAATAGGAGGGCTAGTTTGGATCTCTTTGTTAACACTATTGCTTAGTTATGCTTTAGACAATTAATATGTAGTTATCAAAGTCTATGGGAATTTTTGTAGATAAATAATTTTGAAAGTTTCTAATACAATTATATCATATGCAAAGCTTATTCTTTACTGAAAATCCTGTTTATCACAATTATTTCCGTTCAAACTATTTAACTGATCTGGCAGGTTTTCCAGAAACCCAACTCAAGAAAGATCAGATATTCCGACCTGCTTGTAAATATTAATGCAGATGTGATTATTAGTTTAAATGCAAATATATGTAGGATATTTTCAGCAGATTTACTAAAAGAATAATTAACATAAAAAAGTAAATAAAATGAACAGAATGACATTGCAAATAATTGGTATGTACTTAAAAAAATACTTGTATGGTCCCCTTTGGTATTAGAGATTAGACAAATCCGATGGTCTCACAATGTTTATCAACCCAAATATGCAAATTGATTATTAAACAACAACAAACCTACATATGCTTAAAAAGTTCACCAATAATTTATTGTAACATTTCCCAATCTCAATATTTATATGCAACATAAAACATCAAAAATCCTAAGAAACATTTAAAAAACTGTCAGTTTTTTAACTAAAATTTGCATTTCCTTCATATTCAACACATATTTCACATGTGTAAATTAAATAACAATACATAATTTATTTCCGCACACTTAAAAAAAATATTGCTCAGTCTGTCGGCAGTATTGCTGTATTTAAAGCAGATATTCATAAAACAAAACCGCAACCTCTAAAAAGACGAGGGTGTTTAATTTCAGAAAACACCCATGTGAGATGTGGACTTAAACCAAAGAAATCAATAATCAATAAATATAATCAAACACTTAGATAATGACCCAAATAAAAGTGGGATAAATTACCTTTTTGATTTATGTAAAAAAAAAAAAAAATCTAAATAAAATGCATCTATTATTATCATCGGGGAACATCTTGGAATTTCTGAAACAGTTAACACATATAGTCATAGGCTCAATCCCTGTTACTGATATTGGTGTCTAGGGCCACCTAATATGCCACCTTGTGATGCAGAACTGAACCTTTTGGTTTCTATGTAGAGGGGATGCTATGGGTGCAATACGTGGTAGGGGTCTTTGCACCATCCTGGCACTTTATATGGGGGGCTGTGTGGACACTAATATGTGTCCTGAGAGGAGGTGTAAGAGCATAACTAGAAGGAAGGATAGTTTGGTCCAATTACTTCTTCAGCTTCCTATTTATCAATAATGTGAGTGTCAATCAGTATAAATTACAGCTTGACCAAGCTTGACTGAGCTGGCAGTAATGTCATACACAGACGGAGGTGGTTAATAGTTGTCTTTTAGAAAACCGGGGAGAGCTAATCATGGACATTACATCCTGTAAAATACAACTATATACAATTCTGCATCTATAAATATTTTTCAACCAATCAATCTGTCAGTTGCCCTGATAAAATTAAAGCTTTCTTGTCCGGTTTAGAGTTTAATTTGATATCTGCTTTGATATCTGCTACCTGTTTGAATACATTTTCAGCATTGGCTACTATGTATTCTAAATGTATATCTCAATATTGGTTCTAACCACCTCTTTAAATAATATGAATAATCTTTAGCTTCTGAAAGTCTACAATATTTCCTGTTTACTTTGGTATTTCTGAAAATGAAAGACACTGTAATGCTATTATTAAATGTATGGATAGGTAGAGAGACCAGTTGCATTTCTTCACCTCTAGTTCTTATGATATGCAACACTACAGATTATTAGTCAGCAGTTACATAGGTGAGTTTATGGCTACAAATATCAAAGTTAATTTTTAGCTTTAGCTACTTTAGTAATGTTGGTGCTACTGATGTGCAGATGACATTGCAAGTCAAGATAGGTCAGGGGTAGGCAACCTTCAGCACTGCATGTGTAGTGGACAAGATCTCCCTTAATGCTCTTACATCCATAATCTTGGCAAAGCATCAGGAGATATGAAGTCCACAACATCTGGAATGCTGAAGGTTGCCAAAAAGTCAAACATGACTTGAAGTTAAAAAAAACACAGACACTAGGCACAAAGGGCACTATGGTCAACATATCCTGTTCACGCTAGGTCTTCTTTAGACATGGACCTTGCTCCTAGATCTATTGATATTCATATATGAACAATAATGGAAAATCTTTAAATTCACAACATTACTTTTTGGTGACTGTTTCGAACATATTTAAAATAGGAATGTAGAAATACAGAAATGGGAATGAGCGGATACTAGACAATAGTGTCTGGGAAGACTACATTTTGTTTCAGATAAGTTTCCCTATAAACACAGTGACCAACAAAAATGTGTTAAACATGGGATGCTGCAAAATATGACCTAAACAAGTTAAATACATATCATTCACAGAAAAAACATAAACTGCAAGGGAATGAGGTTTTATCAGAGATTAGAAAACTAAAGCCAATTATCGCAAATAATTTCAATTTGAAGTAGTGATTGATTGAACAGCCAAAACTGTAACATTTTGCATCGAAAAATCCTGCTTTGTATATACTCATAATAAGGTGTACAAAATCTGTGGCATGCCAATTCTTGTGGACTATGATCCCCAAGTAGGGTTGGGTGCGATTGTTCAACTTTTGTATCTGTGTTGCAAATGTTGATAGTTCATCTTCTGCCGGGAAAGTTCTCCAAATTCTTCTAAAAATATGCTCAGTCATTCTCTCGGGTAACCTAATGCCCTGTCCATTATTCACATAGTGAATTTCTCAGGAATGGAGGCACCATAAAGACATTATTAAAAGTTATTAATTATCTACAGTAAGTGCAACAAGAAGTTCATTTATGTACTTTAGATTTTACCCGGCAGCTAAAAGAGTACAATTGTAAATTCAAGGTAAACAAAAATTACCTGATATGACCTTACAAATCCAGACCTGTACTCATAAATGACATCTTGATTTCCTGGGAGACAGGAAGCATGGCTATACCCATCTATCAATTTTAACAGTTTAGTTTACCCCCTATTGGGTATATTCATAAACACCTACTAGTCATCAAATCAAAACACCTTGTACCAAACACCTAGGACATGCAAAATAAAAACCCAAGTCACTTATTTCCCCAACAACCTTCATTCGAGTAACTAGAGTCCATTTCTGGTTTCATTGGTGTTGGCTTCATTGAACCTCAAGTAACTTCTGCAAATGCAGGATTACAGTTTCCAGGATTCCATTAATGTTATTATTCAGGTTGTATTGCTTAAAAAATGTTGGATAGAAAATGTAAACTCCGGATCATTTTAGGAAGTTTCTCGCTAATACCAGAGATAGCTTGTTGTTCATTTCACAGCAGTAAATATATTAATCTTTTTGGCAAGCTGGTAGCATTCTCCTCATTCTACAAAGTATGTCTCAAATTGCCACTTTTGAAATTTGTTTGAGGAATCACATGCACTCATTTGTAGGTTCCTGTGCAATTGGTCCACATCTAGACAGTTCGGGTGTTGTAAATTTTCCAGAACAATATGATCTTTCTAAAAGTAAAAAGGAAAACACAGGCTCAATTTCCAGGAATCCCCATACATAAAAAAATAAATCATAGTTTTATTGTATTTTTAAGCTATTTACTGTGACCAATAACTTCCCTTATCTGTTTTCACCAGTCTTAGACCAGACTGGTCAATGAACTATCTGGGCAAGGTTTAGTGGCACTAAACTGTAGTCATGCCTAGATAGGCACACTTTAATCTTAATCATCGATTGAAGACTGCTGATCTATTGCTGGGATGTGGCCAGACGACTTCAATCTCTTCACTCTCTCAGTCTTTCTAAAGAAGGGAGAAGCCATATTCATATGAGGAAACTCTCATCACCATCATGCAAGCTCTTGTCCTCAATAGCCCTTCCTTTACCAATGAACAACTGGGCAGATTCTCAGAGACTCAGGGTGAAGGAGCTGAGTATCGGAGTGAAATTATCTTGATAAGGAAGATTGAAGAGCCTCAGAGTAAAGGACGGGTAATCAATTTGAATGAACACATTCTCAGGGTGAAGTTTGAAAATGGGCCTCTGTATTCTGAAATACCCGGACCTACTTATTGCTAAACAGGGCTGATTCTAACTCTGGAAAGAAGGTGGATGCACCAGATATGAAATTTATGGTAACTCATTTACAGAGTCTATATAGTGTGAATTCAGTATAATTTATAAACTCAGTATAATATATACAGGTATTATGTATAGTATTGCATTTCAATGGCATTGTGGCGTTTAGTCTTGTTGACTGTTCGTAGTTCTGAAAATTCACATTAAAGTACATTTACATCCAAGTGTCCCATTGGTCTAGCCTTCTATTACAAGCAAAAATCAGAAAGGCATAATGTATTAAGGAGTTTGAAAAAAATAAGAATAATATATATTGCTGTTATTTAGTATAGCAATCTATCTGTTTTGAACTTACTGAATATGCCATAAAAAAAAAGAACGAAGGAGAGATTTGAAAGCAAGGGAAACGACAACAAAGGGACACAAAGTATTTGTACAGGTTCCGTCATTGTGGTTCTTCTGTATGTGTGGTTTCTTTACCCAATAGAATTAATAATCCAACTCCTATTTGATTACTTCTTCACTACACTATATTTATCTATCTCTTTTCCTGCTCTTTGTTAATTTCATTTGGTGGTAAACACGACCTACTTACCAGAGATGGCTGAAAAGATGTCAGAGACTTGTGTAACCATCGGAGGTTAGTGTTTGTGTTGTCGCAGGGATGCAAACTCAATTTCTCCTTCTGGCTTGCAGGCGCAATGCAGAGGTCATTATGTTTAATTAATCTTAGCCAGGTGTAGTTAAACTGCTGGTTCTAGGTAGAGACATACATACAACATCAGCTAAAAATACAGATATGGGAAATACACAGTACAATATTTTGGTTGCTTTGTTTACTGGATTGAGGTACTCTCCTCAATCAGGAAGACTTGATTGATACCTGACTGGTTTCTATCAAATGCCACCTATGACTAAGCACCTCTAAAATCTAATAATCAGCCAACACTTTAATAAGAATAATTAGTCTTTCTCTAGTAGTTCATTTGCATTTTCTAAAGCAGGTGTGCCCCTCTAGTAGTTC